GAGTAATCACTACTAACCCCAGCCAAAGTTACCGTCAGAACCCAACCGTCCGACAATCAGTCGACACCTCCGGCAATCTCACCACCGTCAACACCTCCCAAGCCGCCAAAGTCCACACCTATCTCCTTCCCTTCGACGCACCGGTGCCCACCAAGCCCCGCGAGAACCTCGCCCCCATCCACACCCTCGAGCCGACCCTACGAGAAACCATCGCCCTCGTCGAAGACCTCTTCAAAGACCGCCCAGCCTGGACCCGCCGCGGCCTCCGCAACCACCTCAAAACCCCCGAACAGCGCTACGCCCTCCGCCACGCCGTCCCCTACGTCGGCTACATCTTCCGCTCGGGGCCCTGGCGCGACGCCATCATCAAATTCGGCCACGACCCCCGCACCTCCCCCGCCTACCGCATCTACCAAACCGTCATGTTCCGCATCCTCTCCGGCACCTCGGAGCTCGCCCGCGACGCCGGCAGCGGCAGACGACACACCATCCCGCGACCCAACGAGGTCCCCACAGGACCCGACGCCTTCACCCCCTTACCAACCGACACACACCTCTTCACCGGCACGCCGCCCCTCCCACCAGACGGCCGCATGTGGATGTTCTGCGACATCACCGACCCGCTCCTGCGCTCCATCCTCTTCCCCACCGAGCCCGACCCGCCACCCCCAGGCTTCCTCAGAGACACCTGCGAAATCGCCGTCGACGGCTGGTTCGGCAGCGGCACCCTCGGCAAGGCCCGGACGATCATGCGCGCCAAAGTGCAGAGCATGCTTGACGGCCGCGCCACCGACGACCGCGACTTCGCCCGCGTCCTCCGCTTCCCGGACCACGTCGCGCCGGACGGCTCGCTGGCGCACTTCACGCTCGATCCCGAGGGCACCTCCTCGCGGGAGATGCAGCTTGCGACTGATATCCGGGCGTCGATCAAGGCGTCCTGGAAGGGTCAGCTTGATGCGGCGGGTTCGAGTGCGGGCGCGCGCGCGAATGCGAATGCCGCTCGTTCGGCGGGAGGGGTTTCGTCTGCTGCTGCGCGCGGGAAACGCGTGCAGTGGAGTGAGGATGTAGGCGAGGAAGAGGAGAGCGAGGGAGAGGAGGAAGAGCTGGAGGAGGCCGAGAGGCTGGAGGCTCAGGTGGCGGCTGCGGCGGACGCTGTGGAGGCTGCTGCTACGGCGGCGGACGAGGAGGAGGCGAATGAGCTGGGTCAGGAAGAGTCGGATGAGGGAGAGGATATGGATGTGGAGGAACCGTCAAGGCGATGATCGTTCTCAATGTTGTTTTGCGCCTAAATATAACCTATACCATGTTTGTGACTCTGCAAGAAGCGGACATTACCCGAAATCGTGGTCAAGTCGTAATGTCTTCAGGGCCTACGAGCTGGTCAAGATGACGAAAGCTAGAGCACTAAGTATAACTGCTTACAACAAGCAAAGCTAAGCAGGGAGCGGCTACAAGGAAAAATAAGGACCTATGGTCGCTGTGACGAATCGAATTGCTGATTACCTATGGAAAGAAATGACAAGCTCAAGAGAGAGGGTATCCAAGTTCGAACAATTCCAGAAACAGGAACCATTTTCAACGCCATGCAAAATGTGTGCAACCCGCTAGTTCAAACGCCGGTGCCATCCATACTATTATTAACAGGACAATAATTATTTCAAACATTAATTAATTAGGCCGTTGGTGAGGAGAGCTCAGCGCTGGGGTTGCTCTCTACCACCTTCTCCGATTCATCTGCAGTGCTCTGGCTTTCCCAGATTTCGATTTCTGCCTCGGATTCTGTAGATCCAGCAGCCTTGGCGGGTTGAGTAGCTGCAAGGATCGAGGATATGGATGATACACTTGACAACTTTGTCCGAGTGGGATGGGTAGGGTTGCGTGGCAGGGGAGGTAGGGTGGCCTTTGTTTCCGAGGCGGTTTCATCCTCCTCGTAAATCACGGCATATGAAAAGGCATGGCAGTCTTCGCCATAATAGTCAGCGGCATTGAGTTCACCGAGCGGAGAGCGAGGCTCATCCGTCATGTCGGTCTTTCTGGAGACGGAAGTCTCTCGCTCACGCGTCCGCGACAGGTCAATTCCCAACTCAGATGGAGGAATGTTCTCCTTGCCGCGACTTGAGATTTCCGCCTTGCCCTCGTCATCACTGATATCCAGCACGCAGGTAGAGTGCTGCATCAGGTTGGTCATTTCTTCCTGCTCCGAGTCCACGTAGATCTCAAAAGACCAGGACGCTGGAGTCCTAGGGGCGGGCTGGCTTCTGGGCTGCACATTGCCCAATACTGTCGCGATGGAGAAAGGCCGGGATATGCTCTTTCTGCCTGTAGGTTCTGGCCGGCTTTTGTTGATGGTAGAGCGACGAGTAAATGCTTTGCAAGATTTGCCTTGAGGCGAACGGCCGACAGGCTTGAGCGTTGGAGTGGATTTCGGTTTCGAGAGGGGTGCCTTGAAGGTTGAGGAAGGCATGGGGGAAGTAATGTTCGATTTCACAACGGTCAGAGTCATACGAGACGTCTTCAATGGCTTGGGAGAGCATTTGCTGGGATCATGGTCTTCGTCATCGCAGCCGCGCTTTCGCTTTGTTGACATGTTTAGGGTGGCCGGATCAATATTCTCCGCATCAACCTCGGCCAAAGGCCTTCTTTTGGCAGAGGACGCACCTAAGTGAGGAGCAGAGTGTTAGAAGGATGTTGTATGTTTGGTCAAGGGCTGAGGGAAGACGTACCATTTTGCTGGTTCTTGATGTTCCTTTTCGTCTTAAGCAAGGAGCGCATACGCGGCGCATCGAGGCTGGCAAAGGGCTGCCGCATTGTGGTAGGAGTCATAGTGAGGGCCGCCATACTGGACCGGATGCTGAAATGAATCGCACCCGCTGATGATCTTGCTGTCAAAGCAAGAATGCTTTCTTTCAATACTAACCAGGTCCTATATATTTAACAGTCGAATCCGACCGAGGAAGACGGAGCTGTGGCTGCCTGGGATTTGTTTTGATTTCGCGGAAGTGGGGTCCGCCAGGGATTGGCGGTCTAAGTTGACGATCCCGGCTGATAGTACTGGTAGAATAAATGATAGATAGATAGATCTATCGATCAGAGGGGAAGTAAACGATGAGTGGAGCAGGATTGAGTGTGGCTGCGACGGAGATAATACGGCACGGTCTGTTGAATGTATGATATGGTACGATCTGATACTGTGGATGTACAGGACGGGAGGGATGGGAGAAGACCGTGGTGGTAGGATGTGAGGATTAGATCAAGAACGAGGCAGACAAGGCAATGCACAGAAGATATATGGTCGATGAGGAAATATGAAGGATGCAAAAGCAAAGTAGAGGAGGCAAGGGCAGCAGACAGGGCGAATTCCTGGCGAAATTGGAGGGCAGGAATTGTTCTGACAGGTACAGCGACGCAGCAAAGGGATGCTTCAACAGCGAAGAATGAATGAAGTAGTAGTAGGATGATAATCCGTGATTGATATCATCTCCATGCCTGGATGAGGGACGAGGGATGCAGCGAAGTATTTGAGGCGTGTCTAGACGATGGACCTCCACTCCACACTTGGACCGTGATCGTTCGTGATGGAGCGCGTCATGTTCGTGTTGGATATCCTTCAAGTTTTAAGGTGTAGGCTGCCTACAACTAGATTACAAGCTATGCAAGGCGCGCTCCTTGTATTATCAATTATTGAATCAGCATCTCTATTGGACTCTCGAGGATCCCACGACTCCAGACAATCCAATTATCCTTCTTTTCATAGTAGCTTCCCCTCACTTCCTCCCACCATCTGCTCACTAGATGAAGGTTGTCGACGTGCAGCAAGTCGCGTCAACTCGTGTCTCTTACCGTTCCATAATCTTCATTCAGGATTTGATTCAACCCTTGATTGTCTTTGACCATCCTACAGTATAGATGGCCTATGGTCTTTGTTCCATGATAGACTCGCGATAACGAGACTACTCCATAGATGACTGTGGAGTCAACATACTGTGTAGATCAGTATGAGGTACATCACTAATAACAAAGGTAGTTACAACGACAAGCAAGATAAATAGATAGAATACTACTACTACTGAACAATACTCGAGTCTCCTAGGAAGTACTTGATTATCACGACTCCATCCCTTGGACGCGTCCCACCGACTCAGCAGGAATTAAACCTCAGCTTCAACTTCCAAGAAACAGGAAGTCCGATCCCAATCCGTACAGCACGTCGCGTCTTACTCCCGCGCACTGCCATCCTCCGTTTCAGCCCCTTCCTTGAACAATGCCTGCATCGGCGTCCACCGACTCTTAGTACATGACGGCTTATCTCAGAACCGGGCGTCCTTGCATGCATCAGCCAGAGTATAGGCAGACTGTAGTCATCGCTCAGCAGTAGCCGCATCTGACTCGGTTGAGAATCCATGCTGATTTGTCAATGACACGGTTCAAACTAATAGACCTAAAATTAAAGTCGAATCTTCGGTTCTTCTCAGCCAGTGGTTCCCTGCACGACGAGAGACAAGATGAAACGGACAACACATCCCCAGCGGCTGCGTCGAGACTATCGTGATTTGCTTGAAAAGCGTCATGGAGGCGCTAGGACGGTCTGTCTATTGCCGTAAGTTTTACCTCTGGAGAGGTAGTCGAGCTGGAAAGGGGAGGGTCATACGCGCTGGCGAATTGCCGCCGTTCAATTGATCTACGCTTGGACGTAATGTGTAGGCTTCGAGGCAAGCACCTCGTGCTGCTGTACTGAAGAATGGATGCTCTGAATGCTCATCTGTTCATTCCACAGCCCATCTCATTCCATTTCTCGTGTCTACTCGAGTTCCTAGGAATAGTTCTCTTAATGCCCGCCACTGATCTTCGTTCCGATGACCTGTGGGCAGTCACCCGGCCTTATACTTTATAGTCATTTGCCGCATTTTTCACAGTATTCTCGTGCAATGGTATGGGTATGTATACACGCCACCGTCGACCGTCTCGTTATAAGCCGCAGTTTCACCGCATACCAAGTATCGTCATATCTCATCCGCCCAAGGAATGCTGTCCATCGCTCCCTGTCGCTCTACGCACCGTGCTGCGGCGCGGGTCGCCAAACTCATCGCCTTGTCCATGACCTCTTGATACCGATATGCCTTCTCCTCTGCAGCCACGTCTTGTCCGGCTTTGCCATCCGCTCGTCGTGACTCGCGCCAGCGCGCCACTTCCACGGCATATGCACCAACAAAAGTATCTCCGGCCGCCGTGGTATCCAGCACATTGCTGACCTTCGCGGCCGGAATTTGCTTCGTAAATCGATTGACCCCATCCGCAGGGCCAGAGGTCCCCGCATCCGTCGCACTATACCAAACACCCTTGGACCCCAGCGTGATGAGCACATACGTCACGCCCAGCTGGTGGAAGTACCGCGCCACCTTCTCGTTTCCGCTTTCCTTCTCCACACCGGGAACAACCTTGAGCAAGTGCTCCTCAGACGGACTCATCAGCTCAGCCTCCGTCTCGTTCATAATAATATGGTCGACGGCAGAGTACACTTCCTCAGGCAATCCACCCGGCGGCGCCGGCGCAGGGTTATACATGACATCCGGACCAGCCTCGATCCCCTTCTTCCCCTGCGCTCGATGATTCGCCTTCCAGGCCCTAATATCCCGCAGAATGCCCACCACCGTCTCAACGGGGATCTCCCCCTGCAAGACAATCACATCCGGCACCGGCGCCGCAAGCCCCATCCCCAGCACGTCCTCCGTCGCCCGCATTCCCGTGTAATTCGCCCCCGGCGAGAACAGAATCCGGTTCTCCCCGCCCGCCGACGAGTCCACGATGATCACCGCCACCCCCGTATACGCATCCTCCACCACCCGCACGCGGGACGTGTCAACGCCCGACTTCTCAAGCGTGGGTTTCAGCAGCGCCTGGAAGTGCCCGTCCAGGGCGCCCACGGCCCCGACCATCTCGACTTTGATGTCGCTCTCACTCTGGCTTTCGGTCTTGTTGGAGGTCGAGGACGGTTTCCGCCGCGACAATCGCCCGCACGCGACGGCCTGGTTGGCGCCTTTTCCGCCGGCGCTGGTGAAATATGAGGATGCGGTGATTGTCTCGCCTGGTTCGGGGAAGCGAGGGGTTACGGAGACCATGTCGGCGTTTAGGGAGCCGATGACTCGGATTGTAGCTGCCATGGTTGTAGTTGCAATCGATTGTAAGGAAGGACCTTGTTGTAACTTGTGCCGTAGGGCGGAGATGCGGGGTGAAGTATTGTGTAGATCGGTGGGTCTTAGAGATGGTCAATTCAAGACGTAGAGTTTGATGAGAAGAGTGCACTTACATTATAGGTATTATATTAATATAGATTGCGTTGTCCGAGATGTTTGAAGCCTTGAAGAAGGTAAAAAACCATGCAGAGACATCGACTCTGTCATCAACGGGTTGCCGCGGTGGGGACCTTTGCGAAGCTCCCCACTTCGCTTTCCCCTCGATGCAACAGCAACTCGCAAGAAGGATATACACTCAGAGTCAGTTGTGTCCCAGGCTACAATAACCAGATCTCGTTTACTCATGGTGGGATATATTGATCTAACTAGTCATGCAAAATCCATACCGAAATAAGCTCATGCGCCATACACCGTTTCAAACCCTTCATGCCCTAGTATCGCAAGGTCAAAATGTACTCCTTCCCCTCATTTAATACATAACCTTTGATGTGAAGTGAATCAGAGCATACACGTGTATCCAATTGTCGCGTCTTCGTGACAAGTCAACGAGACCAGTTATACACCGTGCCGATAGACCTGTGATCCACCAGAGCGGATTTGGATCGTATCGCGTCTCTGGAGAACCACCAATGCTCTGTTGAGAGCTTGCTCGGTGTAGCCTCTGCCGTCGACGAATTCCCGTCTCAGAGTGGCCAAGCTCGTACTCCAGCCAATGGGGAGACGGCGCTTCAGTTCATCCTCGATCTTGCCGACCTCCTCCATCAACTCTTTGCTGCCCTGACCTTCGCCTTGTGTGACTGCGTCCATTGTGGAAGCCAGGAAGAGGCGGATGGCTTCGTCGACATGCGCCTCGGTGGCAATCGGCGACAGGCTTAACTTGGCCAACGACTCGGTGATACGAACAATGGCTTCCAATTGACGCACGGTGATGGGAATGGAGGAACGGGTGTTAGCATCCATCTCTGCCCGATGGACTTGCTTCCGGATGGACACAAAGTGCGAGGAAAGCTTCTCCGCAGCTTCGGGCGAAAGACGCGGGGCACACCGGCTAGGTTCACTTGTTAGCTTGATTTCTGCCTTGAAAATGAGCGGTAAAAAAACTTACCTTCGGCAGTAGCTGATGTAGCGCTTCATCTTCTCCAAGGGAATCTCGGCCTCGACTTGTTCCTCAATACCTCTGCCGCCCATATGAACACCCATCACGTGTCGGGCAATGTTCTCGTCACGGTTGCGGTCATGGTCATCGCGAACGATGAAGATCATATCAAAACGGGACAGAATAGTCGTTTGAAAGTCAATGTTCTCTCCAGGAGTCTTCAAGTCATCGTACCGACCAAAGATAGGATTGGCAGCAGCCAACACCGATGTTCGCGAATTAAGAATGGTTGTGATACCGGCTTTGGCAATCGAAATTGTTTGCTGCTCCATAGCTTCGTGGATGGCGACCCGGTCTTCGTCCCGCATCTTGTCGAACTCGTCGATACAGACAACTCCTCCATCAGCAAGCACCATAGCACCACCCTCCAAATAGAATTCGCGTGTCTGCTGGTCTCTCTGTACTGATGCGGTCAAACCAGCCGCTGACGAACCTTTACCGGATGTGTAGATAGCGATAGGGGATACTTTTTCAGTGAACTTCAGCAATTGCGATTTGGCAGTACCGGGGTCACCAAGGAGCAACACGTTGATGTCTCCACGAAGCTTCATCCCGTCGGGTAGAATCTTTTTCGAACCACCCATGAGCAGGCACACGATGGCCTTTTTGATGTCCAGATTACCCCAAATAGAGGGGGCAATGCTCCTGGCGAGAGCTTCGTACAGGTCCTCCCGGCGACTAAGCTCCAGAAACTCCTGCTCCTCTTCTTCGGTGAACATGGCATTGCCCTTGGCTGTATGGTCCAGATCGGTGCTGATGCCAACCGCCCGTAGATACGGGTTGCGAATAGCCACAGCCCCGTCTTTCTTGCCACCCTTGGAGTAAATAGAGAAAATACCCATCACTGTACATCGAGAGCCAGGTACCACTCGGTTGGCCAGGTATCGATCGGCCGAGATGAGGACGTGTCTGGGAAGCTCACCCACGGGCACCTGGTCGGGCGCTTCCTGAAGTTTGAGAACTTGCTGATCAACAAATTGGCATTTCTCGTGGGCGATCACATAAGGATCGAGGGGGCATTGCTCGCCGGGCTCTTCACCCGGTAGCTTTGCACGGCCACACCGTCTGGGAAGCGTTAGACCAGAGAAACCGCCTTCTACTCGGATGTTTTCGCTATGGTCGCAGCCCTTGCACCGAATGTGGACAACGGTGGCCTTGGATGATATTGTAGACGCGCCAATCACAATTCCTGGAATACGAACAAGGTGAGAGATGTTTGTAGCGTTCAGGTCCCGAATGGAGATGTGGGATGCAGATGAGTGAAGCAAGAGCTGGTGCGATGGAAGGACGATGTCTCTCTGAGATGGATAGACAATTCGCTGTGTGCATTGTTGGAGAGCTGCCTCAAACTAGAGAGGCCCAAGACGGTTAGAGTCAGCCATTATGAGTCGGAAGGCAATACTCACAAGGGGGATAATATCGGCAGGTTCGGTTGTGAGCTTGTGAGCGAGCTCCTCGTTATATGATATTAAATGGGCAATATCAATGTCACAGTAATATTGCTTCACGAGAACATTCTGCCGCAGTTGATCACTATACATTCGGTTAGTCTGCACAAGATTTCAAAGTCCCGTTGGGCAAAATACCGGTAAATAAATGCGTTGTCAAGTTGGAACTCCAATACGAACTCGCGCAACCTTGCTTGAATTTGTGTGCGAGATTCTTCTGCGCCATCTGTGCTGGGAGCAAGAACGCTCAAGGTATAGGGAGTACGTCTGTCCATATTGAAGAGAGCGATGAAGACTGAATGGGTAGGGGAGAATTGCGTGGATGCGGGAGCACCTCTGTATCAAGGAGAAGATGCGGGCAACTTTTGCACTGTTGAAACACGAATGCAACGCGTCGCGTCTGAACACGCGTTAATTGATTTTGGCCTTAGGCAGAGGTAGGCTTTGGGCTGATCACCGCGGCGGCACCGGGAGAATGTTCATCCGACACCCAGAATAGGTCTAGGTGCCGTGGCCTCGGGGCCTGGCGCCTTACCCGATCAGGATGCGCTGCCATGATCCCAAAGAATGAAGCCCCGTATCATTGCTTGGTGGTAACTGGGTGACGTTGCGGTCTGATTTCCTTGTGTTTTGTTCTGAAATTAGTCTCTTTCATATTAACAGGCCGGCCGTGCAGTTGGGAGATCGTTGGTAGAAACGGCTGCTCTGTCACTTCTGGAACGATTCGAACAGCTGTCCCTGTGTCATGTTCAGATAGCGTCGCTCTCCAACTTCTGGCCGCCGGAGTCGGTCACTAGGCCTCTACGCAATGTCCTCTATGAGCCCACGCAAATCGATCGATAGCTTGGCCTCGGGTACATCCACGCCCTCCCTTTCTCAGTTCTCGCTCAGTCAGATCGAATCTCCCCGTGCTCCGCCTCAGAAGTTCCCTTTGCGAAGAGGATCAACTGCCAGCTCCATAGCTAGCATTGGAGGGGTGCTTGATCCATCCCAACACTATGGTTCAATCGCGGAGTCAGGACAAAATGGTGCGGTATCTCTAGTCTCTCATAGTTGTTTTGCCACTAATCAATGCGTTGTGCAGCAATTTCCACCCTTCTTCAGCCCCCGATCGTCCGCACAGGTCTTGTTCCGCATGCCGCCGTAGCGTCTACCGGGTACAAGCCGCCCAGCACACGAGACATCCCTCCGGTCACATTGACAAATATTCCACATGTTGACTCCAAAGCCTTTCAGCCGTACCTGTCGCAGGTTGGGTCACTATACGAGGTGTTTCAGCAGGCAAAAGAGTCTACGGCCGATCAGGATGCTCAGCTGGCTCGGGATGGCAAGACTGCTTCGAGACCGGACGAGCATGGCACTCTGATGCCCCCGCCTACGGAGAGACGAGCATCCGTGCTGTCGACGAGTTCCAGAGCAACATCGCCCTTCGATCCACGAAGCAGAAGGCGGTCATCTGGTCGTGGCCGCGGCCAGGGCATCACTCCCCTGTCTATAATTCCGCCGGTCTACTTCGAGGATGACTTTCACCTTGAAAACCCCCGGACTTTCGACGTGGTATCTGAAAAGTCGGAAGTTGTGAGACCCCCCAAGTTACCTGGAAAGGACGGCCAAGGGACCAATGAATCGGCCGCTGAAGCAGCAAACACCGGGAGAAAGGCGCTTGCCACAAATGCAATCCTACAAGAAAAACTCTCGTGGTACATGGATACTGTCGAGGTCCACCTCATCTCTTCCATCTCGAGTGCGTCTAAATCTTTTTTTACCGCGCTAGGCTCTCTGCGTGAGTTACATTCAGAGGCAGCCGATTCGGTCAAAAGGATACAGATCCTACGAAAAGATCTTCAAAAGATTGACCGTGAGATGGCGTTAGGTGGCTTGAAAATTGTCAATTTGCGACGCCGCAGGGAGAATGTGCGAATGCTTGCGGACGCGGTATCCCAGCTGCGAGACGTGGTTCAGTCAGTTGCCCGATGCGAGGAATTAGTTGAGAACGGGCAAATCGAGGAAGCTGCAGACAGTCTTGAAGAAGCGGAGCGATTGATGGCTGGGGAGCAAACCAGCAATAGCGGCGAGGATGGTGCATCTCAAGTTCAACCCAAGAGGCCGATCGACTTGCGGAGACTTAAGGCGCTTGAAGGTGCTTCGGATGACCTTGCGCAACTGAGGTACCGGATAGGCATGGGATACGAGAACCGTTTCTTGAACGATCTACTTGGGGACTTGCGGCGACACATTGAGAATGTGCCTTTGGATGTGACACTACAGCGTTGGGGCTCCTCATTCCAACGACAACGCGGAGCGCAGCGCTCGGGTGCCTCGTCATCTCCAGCTTATATGAAGTTTGACGAAGACGTGAGGTCACGGCTCCATACGAATCTGATTGGACTCGCCCGTGCGCAATACACGACGCCAGCAGCGACTTCGTTCAAGACAGCAGTTCTCCGGGAGATGAAGGGCCTGATCCGTATACATATGCCTAGCTCCAGCGATGATGACAATGAGTCGGTGGTGTCAGTCTCTACGCACAGGTCCCAACAACGTAGCCAACAAGAGAAATCGTCGATACTAGCACGCAATCTGCGCGCTCTAGACGCGGAGGATGCGTACAATATGCTTACTCGAGTCTACACCGGCATCAGCGAGTCATTGCGGAGACTTAGTGTTCAAGTCAAAGTCCTTCTCGACATCGCCAGCGGACTTGGAAATCCTGCGACTGCTGGCCTCAGTTCACCCCCTCGGAGTCCTGACCCACAGAGTATGACAAACCCTATGGCTTCTCGGCTGCCAGCGACAATTCAAGCGCAGGACGAAATCTTGCAGGTTCTGGACATGTCCAGCCTTCTTGGACAGGCTGTTGACATTGCTCAGTCACAAATTACAAAGGTATTGAAGGTTCGGTCGGAACAGACATCCCAATTGCCCAAGGAGGAGTTTCTCCGCTACTTCACATTGAATCGACTTTTCGCCGACGAATGTGAGGCTATTTCTGGGAGAAGCGGCACAGCCCTGAAGACTGTTGTCAGCAACCAGATCCGCGACTACATTAACAGATTTGGGGAGAACCAACGGCACCGTCTCGTCGAGGTGATGGACTCTGACCGTTGGGACGCGCGCGATTTTGGCGAGACTGAGACTGCCATTCTCAGCAAAATCCTTGACGCAAGCACCAAGGATGTTGAAGCCTGGTTAGCCGTGTCTAGGATCTGGTCGCCACAGGAAGAGCAGAACGAGAACGCGGGGACAGATTCTGCTGCTACCAATGGCACGGGCAAGGACAAGGTGCGCAGTGCCGTTATTGACGAGCAGAAATATATCCTTCCCGAATGCGCGGTAGCGATGATGAAGAGCATTGAGGAGTTTCAGTTTCTTATGGCCAATATTCCAAGTATGATGCAGGATATAGCCCCTGGTCTGTTGGAGTCATTGAAGTTATTCAATTCTCGATCGTCGCAGCTCATTCTTGGCGCTGGGGCCACGAGGAGCGCGGGGTTGAAAAATATTACCACAAAACATCTCGCTCTTTCCTCACAAGCTCTGAGCTTTATCATCGCCTTGGTACCTTATATAAGGGAATTTGTGCGACGGCATGCCCCGTCGAGCCCCCTGATGGCGGAATTCGACAAGGTCAAGCGGCTGTACCAGGAACATCAGTCTGGAATCCACGAGAAACTCGTCGATATCATGACCGGCCGGTCTTCTGCGCACGTGAATGCAATGAAGAAGATTGACTGGGACGCGACGGCGGGAAATAATGTCAACACGTACATGGAGACCTTGACGAAAGAAACGGGCACACTGCACCGTGTTCTCAGCAAGCATCTGCCGGAGACGACAGTGATGATGATCATGGAACCCGTGTTTAGAAGCTACCGCGATCAATGGGCCAGAGCTTTTCAAGAGGTCACCGTCCGCACAGAAGCCGGTAAACAGAGGTACGTCCCTTTCTGCCAATTTCGGAGCCAACCTGTTCTAACCATTCTTAGGATGCAACGGGATGCAGAATATTTGCAAACCAAGCTAAGCAAGATCGACGGCTTCGGAGACTTGGGACAGCGTCTGCTTGAGTTGGTCCAGGGCAAGAGTACTTCATCGCCGGACGAGAAGCCAACCGCATCAACCGAGTCACCGAAAGAATCGCCCCGGGAGACCAGCGAAGAGAGCTCGAGGAGTTCCTCTTGACGTTAGGATCGCATGGAATGGCATGATAACCTAGTGTCCGACAGCGCCGCTAGTCACCGACATGTTCATAATATTAATAGGGAGGGGCTGCAGTGTTAGACTTGTATATAAGTGATGCTACTATACCATACCCGCCACTACATCCCCAACCGAAAGAACACATACACTTCATCTATGATTTCATATCATTTCATTTCAAATGAATTGTATACTTTACAGTGAATCATAATGAAGAAGCCCTCGCTTCAATGCATACCATACAGACCAGACCAGGCCCAAACGCACCGCGCAGACCCCGACCAAACTCCAGCAAAACCCGCATGCCGGATCACCCAATTCTAAACACCGAGTCGAATTATTCAATCATCGATACTACGCCTTATGCGCACCAAGACCCTTGTTCTCGCCTAGGGTGCGAGGCTCATGGCCGCCCTTGCCGCTCGAGTGGCCGGGGGCACCGCCGCCGCTGTGCATACCGCCGGCAGGGACATCGGGGAGGGGGGCTGTGCGGTCGACGCGATCGAGGTGGTCGTTCTGCTGTTGTTAGTACTGTATCCATAACTGTAGCGATAGTGAGATGGGGCGGTGGACGTACAGCAGAGTTGGTGCCGTGGACCTTTGTCTCACCAGCTTCGATGGCGTTGTCGGACTGGGGGATGCCGTTGTCGTATTCTGCTCCGCGAGGCATGATGCTTGTTCTTTCTCTTTTTTCAAAGGTAGATAAGTCTGGAAAAGGGTTAGCTGGATTCGATTGAGCGTTTGCGTGGTGATCCGTACGGATAATTGATGTAGAGGATTCGTTGTGTAGCTTGTTGTCCAAGGAATTGAATTTCAATTGATAGAGGTAGTTGATGGCGGCAGCAGCAGCAAAGGAACTTTCGGGCTCTATATAGCTATCTCTGAGCTGGTAGGTAGCTATTCTTGGTCGCGGTGGAAGACGACACTGACAGCATCATGAGGTCATTGTGGAGCGAGGACGACAACCAATGACTTCATCTGCTCCGGGTAAGTCAAGGTACGATGACAACAAAGTGAATTAGTCATTCGTAGAGGGTCTGAAGAGAGCTCATTACGATATTCCAGATCAAGAGATTGTAAATGTGGAAAATGGGCACGCGAGTATGGAGCTAGATGACTTGGAATCTCAGGCCAAGATTTCCCCACCAACTGGCAGCTACACGGTAAGATACCTCAGGCACAGATGTTTGCCTGAACAGTTCGAGAAGAACCAACAACTGGCGAGCAGCTGAGCATGCGTTTCTTGACTCGGCGTCGAGACTGCTGCATGCACGAGGAGGGATAATGCAGGAAGGGATAGAATAAGAATCCATCACCCATTTCACCACAAATCATGTAGTAGATACCTACCACTCCTTTCAGATAAAACCTTACAGATAGTACTTTATTGAAGGGGGAAAAAATGCCCTCAATGACAGCCGTCATCCTGCACACCCCTGGGCCCCCAGACAGTCTCAAACTCACTCACCACCCCATCCCAATCCCCAAACCAGGTGAACTCCGCATCAGAATCAAAGCATTCGGCCTCAACCGCTGCGACCTTCTTACCCGACAGGGCCACCACACCATCACCTATCCCCGGATCCCCGGCATCGAAGCCGTCGGCATCGTCGATGCAGCCCCGGGCCTAGAACACATCTTCCCGCAGGATAGCATCGTAGCGACCGCCATGGGCGGGATGGGGACTGTTTTCGACGGAGGATACGCAGAGTACACGTGCGTTCCGGCGGGGCAGACACAGCTCCTGCGGCCAAAGACGACTTTGCCATGGGAGATTCTCGGAGCAATCCCGGTGATGGTGTCCACGGCGTGGGGGGCGCTGATTCGGTCGCTGGGGCTTAAGGCCCGGGACCGGTTGTTGATACGTGGGGGGACGACGGCTGTGGGGCTGGCGGCCGCTGCGATTGCGAAGGTGCACGGGGCGTATGTGGCCAGTACGACGAGGAAGAAGGAGCGGGAGACGATGTTGCTTGAGAATGGGGCGGATCGGGTCTGGATTGATGATGGGGCGGTTGCGGAGCAGATTGGGGCGGCTGGCTCGGGGGGTTCCTATGATAAAGTGCTTGAGCTGGTGGGTGCGGCTACTTTGGCTGACTCGCTGCGGTGTGTGAAGAAAGGTGGCATTGTATCTCTTGTTGGCATGTTGAGTGAGAATGGGGATCTGGAGACGGTGGATCTGATGGAGATGATCCCCTCTGAGATCAAGCTGACGGTGTACCGGGGGACGTCTGAGGATTTCATGAGCACGCCATTGGATGCAGTGCTGAGGCTGCTTGAGCAGGGAAGTTTGAAACTCAAGATAGGACGAGTGCTGCGGATGGAACAGATTGTGGAGGCTCATCGGTGTATGGAAGACAATGAAGCGGAAGGGAAGATTGTGATTCTCCCTTGAGGTAAACAGTGAAACAGCTTTCTTCTCATTGACTTGCTTATAGGCAGATTCTAGCATAGCATGGATAGACGTGATGAAATAGAGCACTTAGATATTTGATTTCTAATGTCTATTCCTCAACTCATTCTTATCCTCAATACCTCTGGCCATCTTTTCAGTTAGGGATCAAACTGGGCCGGACCTTGGTGCTCTGGAGACTGAGCGGACCGAGTCCAGACGAAGGGAGGACGACAGAATGTAATAATGTTAATTGACATACTTCTCAGGCGAGATATTATCTCTCGCCGGATATGTCTAACAAATATCTGATAGCGGCTAAAATTGCCGTAGATGATCGGAGATAAATTCCAGAAAAGTCCAGCTTTGCTCGATATCATCATGAATCCAACTAATCTGCAGCTGTTGAGCGTGAGCCCCCTTTACCCCCGTCGGATATACACCTTCTGCTCCGAGTGCTGGCCATTGAGGACTTTTGTCGGTACAAGTACATCATTTACACAGAGGGGGTAACCTACTCTGGAAGGCTGCCCTTCCATCAGGCTTGCCGCTCCATCATTCTCAAGCCGCCCATGGCATGGATGCTGTACACAACACATCTCGTACGACCATTTTTTTCGAGCACATTATTGCAGACAGAGCCCAGGCTGGAACCTCCCCATCAGTCGGATCGCATCAAGCGAGCCTGGCCAACGGTGATCTTCGACTGGTTCGACATCCACCTGGGAGCAACCATTTCGGTATCAGTTTGTGGAAGGCGAAAGTATATCGGCGATCTATCTCATGGAGCCGTTGGTGCCGGAGGCATGGAGGCCCCTGATTAAGTTCATCGAGTGCGCGCAGGAACCACGCAATTGAGAGGTATGTCTTGGTCGCCGGTACCACTGCCGAGCCAGGTAAACCAGGCATGGGCATGGTCTGGCAACATTTTCTCGATAACCAGATCGATTACTGTGTCCTGCGCCCAAATTGGTTCATGGGTAAGTGCCAGTTATACTATTCATTGGGCCTGCTGACTCTCGTTGCTTTTCGTCATTGTGGCATCAGAGAACCTCGCAGAAGCGGTTCCATGTGCAGTGATTCGCAATCAGAGCAAGATCTATACAGCCTGCGGCGACGGCAAAATCCCCTTCATCAGTGCCATTGACATTGCGGCAGTCGCTTTTCGAGCCCGACAGATCATAAATCACACAATTGTGATCGCCGCATGCATTTTGGGACCAGAGCTTCTCACTTATGATCAGATAGCTGAGAAGCTGACTGTAATCCTGGGCCGACGGGTCGAACATGTCAAGATGACAGGAGATGAGCGGTACGAAGCGTTGGTCAAGGCTGGCGTCTCAGGCGACTATGCCCGATTTCTGAGTAACCTCGAGACCGCAGCATCCACTGGCTGTGAGACTGGAATGAGCGACAGTGGAAAAGTCACTGGACAAGCCGCAAGACGTTGTGACCAGTCTGCACGGGAGAACAAAGCTGTTTGGGAGTGAGGAGGAGTCTACTGAATCGGCATATCATGCACATAGCTTATGCATTCAAGGGTCCGAATAGATAAGACATCATCATCAGGGCAGTCTAATGTGCTTGTCCATGGTACTATCTGAAGCTACTCCTCTCTATAACAGCCCGAGACTTCAACACGCTAAAAGTGGTCAAAACCTGATTGGCAGAAGAAGTCACATGCTCGATCCTGACGAGCGGGTCATGACATCATAACCCAGCAGCTTTCCCCAGATCTGCCGTCCGGTGTTGAGCGGGGAGTTGGCACCTGTGAGGTATGCTACACATTATTACAGAACCATTATAAAGGAATGATTACATGGCTGGTTGATCATCAAGCTCTCGTTGGATGTAGTCCTGGGGTGGTGGGGAATTGTATGATCGACTATTTACGTAGGAGGGCGATACCCTTGTAGCGGCAGAGCTCAGGATTAGGAGTAGGTACGGGGGTACCAATCCTGCAGGAAATAAGCGCACAAAGCTCCCATTGCACACCGAGAACATTTCTGGTCTTCTCCAACGCAAATTAACACTGTTGCCAAACCAGTCAAGTACTCAATTGGAGGAACAGAAAGTAAAAGTCCCTAGTATAAAAGTCAGAAGAACAGTGGTTGCACAGACACAAAACCCTGGTCAAGCTGGGCCGAGCTAAGAGCCAAAGGCCTGGAAGACGGGTCCTTGGCCCAGGTGCCGCAACCCCCAACAGCTTTAAGCAAGTAGCAGGCAAGCCAGTACATTAAAAAGGAGGCGAACTAGGGAGAGCAGAAATTTTCTTTCGTCAGACAAATTATTATTAGCATTCCAACTTTTATAAGTCTAGACTACCCCCTCGCTATTTTGAACTCCCTTCAAAATTTCTTCATCCCTCCCTCCTCTCGTGCGGCCTCAGACCTCCTCGGGTACCTGAGACAGACAAGACAACCTCACCCACAGCTGAATCTGGACAAACGCAGAACCAACCTCCCGCACTAGACTAATCCCCGCCACTCGGACCCCCGCACGGCCGAAACAACCTTTCTTCTTGGAGAACCGAGACCGAGAAAGACGGAGGACGAGAAGCTGCAGGTTCGTGCCTCTCCCATTTCTTTTCCTCAACGCCGACCTTTCTCTCTTTGTCACTTCCTACCCCAGCTTGATTGTGCCTCGCCGCTGATCAGCTCTGCCTGAGATTGGCTTCAATTATTTCTGCTTTGATTCTTACGATATTGCATACTCCTACAGCTTCTAATTTACAATTCAAAGCACACAATGGACAGCGAGGATACTGGTCCCGACCCTCCCAAGAGAGATGTGCGCAACCACTACCTCTTTGAGATTGCTACCGAAGTCGCCAACCGAGTCGGTGGTATCTACTCCGTGCTCAAATCTAAAGCTCCGGTCACTACAGCTGAATATGGCGATCGATACACCCTGATCGGCCCTCTGAACCGGGCCTCCGCAGCCGTGGAGGTGGAGGAGCTGACTCCCTCGAACCCCCGCATGGTGGAGACCATGAACTCCATGAAGGAGCGTGGCATTGAGATGGTGTATGGTCGCTGGCTGATCGAGGGTGCTCCCCGTGTTCTCCTCATCGATACAGGAACTGGATACAAGTACCTGGATGAGTGGAAGGGCGACCTCTGGAATACATCCGGTATCCCGTCTCCGGCGTCGGATACGGAGACCAATGAGGCTATTGTCTTCGGTTATCTGGTGGCATGGTTTTTGGGAGAAGTACGTGCGCTTCCATGGACATTGACAGCAGGTTGATCTCGTAGGCGACGATGCTAACCGATGGCTTCAGTTTATCGCTCACGAACGCCGACGTGCTGTAGTTGCTCATTTCCACGAATGGCTTGCCGGCGTTGCCCTTCCTCTAACCAAGAAGAGGCACATGGACTTGACCACTATCTTCACGACTCACGCAACCTTGCTTGGTCGGTATCTTTGCGCAGGGTCTGTCGACTTCTACAACAATCTACAGCATTTCGATGTGGACGCCGAGGCTGGCAAGAGAGGCATCTATCATAGGTACTGCATCGAAAGAGCCGCCGCGCACAGCGCAGACGTCTTCACTACAGTCTCACACATCACTGCATTTGAGAGCGAGCATCTGCTCAAGCGCAAACCGGACGGGGTGCTCCCCAATGGATTGAATGTCAAGAAGTTCGCTGCAGTGCATGAGTTCCAAAACTTGCACTCCCAGGCCAAGGAGAAGATCAACGACTTCGTCCGCGGTCACTTCTATGGCCACAATGACTTTGATTTGGACAACACACTCTACGTCTTCACGGCAGGTCGGTATGAATTCCGGAATAAGGGAGTGGATATGTTCATCGAGGGCATGGCTCGGCTCAATCATCGCCTCAAAGCTAGCGGGTCCAAAACGACGGTTGTGGCCTTTATCATCATGCCCGCGCAGACATCGTCGTTGACCGTGGAGGCCCTCAAGGGTCAAGCTGTCGTCAAGTCATTGCGAGACACCATCGAGATGATCGAAAAGAGCATCGGAAAACGAATGTACGAGCGTTGTCTGGCCTGGAAAGAAGGCGACAACATGCCTGACGAGAAGGACCTGATCACAAGCCAAGACCGTGTGCTGCTGCGTCGGAGACTCTTCGCCATGAAGCGACACGGACTGCCTCCCATTGTGACCCACAATATGCTCAACGACCATGAAGATCCGATTCTCAACCAAATTCGTCGGGTCCAGCTTTTCAACTACCCCACGGACCGCGTCAAGATCATCTTCCATCCGGAGTTCCTGAACTCCTCCAACCCTGTCCTGCCTCTGGATTACGACGACTTTGTCCGTGGTACCCATCTGGGAGTCTTCCCATCGTACTACGAACCTTGGGGCTACACTCCTGCAGAGTGTACCGTGATGGGCGTTCCAAGCATCACCACCAACTTGTCCGGTTTCGGCTGCTACATGGAGGAATTGATTGAGAACTCCTCCGACTATGGAATCTACATTGTGGACCGTCGCATGAAGGGCGTTGATGACTCTGTCAATCAGCTGACTGAGTTCATGTTCAACTTTACCCAGAAGAGCCGGCGACAGCGCATTAACCAAAGGAACCGCACAGAACGTTTGAGTGACCTACTCGATTGGAAGCGTATGGGTTTGGAATATGTCAAAGCCAGACAGCTGGCTCTAAGAAGAGGTCAGGAAATTTATTGTCCCAGCTGATTACTTGATACTGACGCCGTACATAGCCTACCCTTCATCGTTCGATGGTGCCGAAGACTATTTCGATGTTATTGGAGGAACAGAGCAGAAGCTTTCGCGTCCATTGTCAGTCCCCGGGTCTCCTCGGGATCGATCTGGAGTGATGACTCCGGGTGATTTTGCTACCATCCAGGAAGTCAAGGAGGGCCTCGGCACCGAGGACTACGTTGCATGGCGTTTACCGTAGGTTTCCACCTAATTCAGGGCAACGAGGACATCACTGACAAGACACAGTACTAGCGAAGAGGAAGAGCCTGATGACCACTACTTCCCGCTCACTCTACGGACGAAGAAGTCTGCGGACCGACCTTCGTCGCCGCTGGATAGCATCCCCGTCAACGGTGGCCGCTGATTCTGATCGCCATGATCGACGGTTGATTACCTTGTGGATCCAAGTGAGCATGATTTATATTTAAAGAATCAGGTCACCGGCAGCTGTAACCCCACTGATTGTCGCTCTACATTTTTTTCATTTCATTTTCTTTGTTTCTCTATTCTACATCAAACCTGCGTATCCTCTTTTCTTCTGGGTCATCATTTCAACTACATGCTATAGTTTCTTGGAAATTACCAACGTGGACTTATTTGACCCGACTGCTTGTTGCGTCAATCCGATCATGATCACCTGTGCTGCTGCTGAATTCTATGCCATGTCTGCATCTGTTCATCTGTGTCATTTATGTCTTGCTCTCTACATAGCGTGCTGTTTCATTGTTTCCCCGTGAATCTCCATGCCTCCATGCTGGTAGATTGTATGTTAACAGAGATGAGGCCTTACCTTGAGAAATTGTATTTTGTATGTCTCAAAATGTCTACTGTAATCAAATATCTAGTAACAATAGCTGGCACGTCGACTATTTGAGCGTCATGGACTGGGCTGTCCATGTTTGCTTACCTATTGGAACCATTGAGTCATTATTCGCATGGTCTGTCCGGCAATTGTCGGATCTTGGGAAGGAGGAGAGGGGGCACGATCATAGTGATGTGATGAGAACCGTAATACTACACATGCCTAAAGCCAATCAAAGCAATTGATTGTTTTCGTAGCCCACAGTGGATAGCAACCTTGAACCTGAAGTCATCCCGGTGAGACTGATTGATACCTGAGGTGGTCATGGTGGGGTAATCGGCCTGCTCCCCTCCGCTCTGTTATTTCTACCCCTCCTCCTCCTCGTCCTCCTGCATCTATCTGCTTATTGTTTCTCTACTCTATCTTCACTTCATCTGTTGATTTATCGATAGAAACTTCTGCCATCCCTCTGGTAGGACTCACCATGGGGCCGCGCAGTCAGGATGACCCTCTCGGGGTCTTCTTCGCTAGGGGTTGATATGGGTCAAGGTATCGTACATTGTATAATAACAGTCACTGCTCGCGCATGACAGGTGTTCGATCTGGGTTTCTGTCTGGATACTGGTGCTCTCGTTGTTCGGCATGTTCGACCGGTGGTCATTTTGACCTGGAGACCAGTCATCAGACAGAAACCCGGTCGTTCTGAGATTATACTGTCATAACTTGATCTAGATAATACTAGCGAAAGGACATGCGTGGCACTGATTGTCCCCTACCCCCCTTAATGAAAGATGAGGGGGCCAGTTACCTCTCTGTGTGCTGACTGATTCTAGAACAATTGCAATTGCCGTCAAGTGAATCGGTGTCAAGATGTCTACTGACAAGATCACCTTTTTGACCAACTGGTACGGCTTTTGCAGTTGTTCTGCTACCGATCTCTGTTGTGAGACCAGCTTGCTAAGTGGTCCGTCTTGTTTGTAGGCACGCGACGCCCTACCATGCCCCTCTGTACCTTGCCCACAGCAAGGGCTTCTTCAAGGAAGAGGGCCTCAAGGTTGCTCTTCTGGAGCCTAATGACCCCTCCGATGTGACCGAGATCATCGGCAGCGGCAAGGTTGACATGGGCTTCAAGGCTATGATTCATACTCTGGCTGTATGTAGCTGCTTGGCGTCGTTGATGGTTTGAATACTCACGATCATCCAGGCTAAAGCTCGTAACTTTCCTGTCACCTCGATCGGCTCTCTGCTCGACGAGCCTTTCACTGGTGTTGTCTATCTCAAGGATAGCGGAATCACCGAGGACTTTCGCTCCCTGAAGGGCAAGAGAATCGGCTATGTCGGAGAGTTTGGCAAGGTTTGTCTTGCCTTTTTCTCTGGCAGAAGGGCATGCACTCACTGCGGTGAATAATAGATCCAAATCGATGAGCTCACCAAGTACTACGGCATGACCGCAGACGACTACACTGCCGTCCGCTGCGGCATGAACGTCACCAAGGCCATCATCCGCGGCGACATTGACGCCGGCATCGGTCTCGAGAACGTGCAGATGGTCGAGCTGGCCGAGTGGCTTGCCTCTCAGAACCGTCCCCGCGACGACGTCCAGATGCTCCGCATCGACCAGCTCGCCGAGCTAGGCTGCTGCTGCTTCTGCTCCATCCTCTACATCGCCAACGACGCCTTCCTGGCCGCCAACCCCGAGAAGGTGCAGAAGTTCATGCGCGCCGTCAAGCGTGCGACCGACTACGTCCTCGCGGAGCCCGCCAAGGCCTACGAAGAGTACATCGACGTCAAGCCCATCATGGGAACCCCCGTGAACCGCAAGATCTTCGAGCGCTCCTTTGCGTACTTCAGCCGCGATCTGAAGAACGTCCAGCGTGACTGGGCCAAGGTCACCAACTACGGAAAGCGTCTGGGCATCCTCGACACAGACTTTGAGCCCAACTACACCAACAAGTACCTCTCCTGGGACCTGGATGTGGACTCCACCGACCCTCTTGGTGACCAGAAGCGCATGGCTGAGCTGCAGAAGCAGATCGCCGCTGAGGGCGGTTTCAAGCGCCTTCAGGTGTCCGCTAGTGCTTAGGCACTTGTCCCCTTTCTCGGGTAGTTGGACTTGATGTTGGACCAACAATCTTTTATGGTTCAGATAGCCTAGTCAGTCGCTCATTAGTCTCGTTGTGAGACAACCAATGAAATTATAAATTGATCAATTCACTTGGAAGAGCTGTAATGGATCTCTAGGTCTGATGTCTGATGGCTAATTCGTCCTTGCTGTTGAGTTAAACCTATCATTGCAGTTCTGCAAGATTACATCGACTCAATGAGAAGTGATGACTTATATGCATTCCTCAATTTGCCCTCAGATATAATTGATTAGTAGCACCAAGAGTAGCATATGAGTCCAAACTGCTCAATCACCATCATCATCAAACTCTTCTCTCGAAGCCGAACGCGACAATAATCGCTCATTCCCCAACAGCGAAAACTCAACCCCCTCAACCTCCCCTCCGCTAAGACCATGCTCATCCCCATTGAACTCATCAACGGACTTCCACCCGCCCCGTTTTCGACTACCTTCTCGGCCAGCAGTTCGCACCGCAAACTGCCGTTGGATAAACCACGTACACACGGCCAGAACAACAGCAGACGCGAACCCCACAGCGAAGAACAGGAACGCGCGTACATCAATCGAGGACGATTCGTCGCTGTCGCTGTCGTCTGGGCCGAGAGCGACTTCCTCAGACGCCGGGTCCCAGTGCATCCATGCCGTCGCGCCGAGGATCTGGCCCGTAGCGTTGAGGGCAAGGCCGCGCAGGTAGTCCTGGGATGTTTGCGCGGGGACGGGGATGATAGTTTCGAAGCCGGATTTAGGGACGGCGGTGAGGAAGGTTATTGACGCCTCGTCGTCATCGTCAGGCTGTGTGTCCGAGCCCTCAAGGACCCACGTCGCGACCTCCGTAGCTCCGTTCCAGCTGACGGCTGCTTCGTAGCGGTACAGGGCGAGAGCCGGGTTTGTGCGCGGCCGGCCAGTCCAGGGGTGTTTGAAGACGCGGTAGGAGAGGATGTTGCCTGCGCCGAAGGCGGATGCCGGGCCGAAGTGGACGTGGCAGAGGACGTCGCCGGCGATGGTGTACTCTGTCCATGCGGCGTTGGCGCCGTAGCCGAGGAGGACGTTGCCGCTGTCGAGGAGCTGGACGGAGCCCTGGGACTGGCTGCTGATGGGGTGCGGGTTCCAGTACTCGTGTCGGACGCGGACGGTCATATGCTGCGTGTCGAGGTCGAGGTAGAGGCCGCGGCTGGTGAGGCGCGGGGCGCCCTCGCCGCGGGAGGCGTTGTCGAAGAGCGTGATGGCCGTGCCGTTGTCGCGGAAGCGGGCGTGGTGCTGCCAGGTGAAGTTTGTGGCGGCGCCGGCGGAGAGGTCGTGGAAGTCGTTGTGCTTGCCGCCGAGGCGCCAGATGATGTCGCCTGTGCGGCCGTCGACGTACGTGAGACAGCTCATGTAGCGCGAGGAGACTAGAAAGTTGCCCGTCGCGTCCTTGTCGACGCTGTTGATGTGGAAGAAGTCCCAGGGGCTGTCTTGGGAGTCGCCGGTGCCTTCGCGGCCGCGTGTAGCCGTCAGTGAGGTTGAAGTGTTCGGATGCGCGCCATTGGAAGAGCAGCTGGCCGGTCTCGATGTCGACCTCTTGGAATGTGCCGTCCCATATCCAGCCCTTTTCCGGGCCGCCTGCAAACCGTAGATCTGCGGGGACGACGTCGTAGACGGTGAAGAGGGCGGTTTCATCACCGGTGATCTGGAACTCGTGGAGGTCTGCAGGCAGGCTGTTGGCTCCCCGGACCGTATACGCCTCTTCGTAGGCCGAATCTAGCTATACGGAGGATTGGCATCAGCCGCTTTTGCACCATCTAGACACAGGGCTTACCATGTAGTATGTCCCGTCGCCATGACCAACGATCCCATCGTTCCCGACCCAGAACGTGAGATAGCCCTGGCCCTTGTAACTGTACACATTCGCGTTGTACGTCTGGCCGTAGTATTTGGTCCACACCAGGTGACCGTCCTGATCGATAATCATGGGCCCCGGATTTCGCACTGCCGTTCCGCGGGGCGCAATCAGGGTGTATTTCCCATCCTTGCATCGAGGATTGGACTCCACGTAGTTCAATATGGGCCCCATCAGAGCACTCGAACGATAGGTCTCCGTTGGCCATTGTCCAAGCTCCCCATCTTCAAAGCGACTCGACTGGGAATATGGTCCGCGATCTGCTTGTACAGGAGTGAATGCCGTTGCGACGGCGAACCATGCATGTCCCAGCCTCATCACATCAATCAAGCAAAAGAGATGCCCGGAGATATGTACAGCGGACCGAGGGCACTAACAGTGTATCGACCGCCGTGAAGCCAACATGTTGGGTTGGCCCATATTTTAGTAAGGGAAGGAGAGCGAGTGATATATAAAAAGGCACTCGATGGCTCGATCGGCCAACGACCGAACTGCGACATCAAAATTTTGAACTATTGCGATAGACGCGCGGACGTCCACGTCTCCACGAGCGAGCACCATCTCATCGCCTAGATCCACCCATTGGAAGCCGTCCTGACGCTGTTTCGTCACTCATAATGGACTTGAATGACCGAGGGTTGCCAAGAATTTTTATAATCAGCGCAAAGCCATTGCACCTTTCTTGATTGTCTGCTGCTTGTCGATGAATCGGCAATCCCAAGCCCGAGATTGTACGTCGAGCAGGTATGGCGTGGCCGAGTGGAGTCAGGATCACCATCTTTCGGATTAATCAAACGCTAGAGATTTAGCGATGGCTTAAGGAGCAAGTGAGCACGCGCTGGCAGCGAGATGGAGTCTATCTGCCAATCGAGTTGTGGCTGAATGATACTATCTGAATCAGGGCAAAATTATGGCGACGGTGCTTAGGATTTCGGTGTTTGTTCACTCCCGTAGATATATCAAGGCTGAAGCACGCGACTTTCAGAAATGCAAGAGGCACTTCGGGGTTGAAGTTGCTGGAAATGACCGTCTCAGGGAGCTCATGAGTTGACGACAAATTGAGGAGACAAGAATGCGTGATGGAGGATGGGTCCTAGGTTGCTGCAACTGTCTGCTTGTTGAAGTTACGTGCAGTACTACGCTGCTCTTGTCCTCAGCTATCTTAGCATTGCAAACGCTCTCTTCTCATTACATCGCCTTATACAGATCGGTTACCATGCGCAGATTCTCAATCAATGTCCTGCTTCGAGAATGAGCAGAAGCCCGACAGAATCGACCTTCATGGAGCTCTAACCTCACCGAGAGTGCCTTAACAGGCCATTTCTTCTTGCATAGCACACTGCGTGAGACAATGACCCCAAGGCCAGAGTGGCATCAACATTGATATCAATCTACGTAGTGTCTCGCCAATCGTGTCTCATCCTAGCTTCTCCGGCCTGATTGATTTCAAAGCCAGCTGGCGGGTGCTACTTCGTCATTGGAGGACCAGTCCTGCTTGAGGAGGCAGACAGACCGATTTCCAATTGCTCCCATCAGATGTTTGCGATTGTCGGAAGGCAAGTGGAAATTCGTGCGTTGGCACGAATATTCGCGGCAGGTCCCCAGTCCGCCAATGTCCAGCTCATCTCACGATCAACTACAGTTCATTCCTTTGCGGCATTGTGCCACGATCACAGAAGCCTCTATATATGCATTAAATATTTGTATCAAGAAAGCGCCTGTCTAACGACACGAGCTCTGAATTGTACATACATGCAGGTTAACAGCACGTCATATAATCATTAGCTGTTCTATGTGTTCGGTGGGGTATGAAACTAAATGAATCAAGGCATGGTATTAAGAGTCAGAATGTAACATGCCCCATATTTTTAATGCGACTATTTGGTGCGCTTGTAGATCTTGCCCAGGAATGCCTCGAAGACCTCCTTTTTCAGGCCCTGACTTTCGTCAATGGCTGCGATCTTGGTGCGAATTTCACCAACGGTCTTCTCCTCATACTCCTTGTAGACCTTCTCCAAATCGAGTTCCTTGTAAAGGGCCTTGACCTTGGCCTCAAGCTCGTCGTCCTTGCGGCCGTAGGCGGCGTCTAGGAGCTTGCGCTGCTCATTGTTGCAGCGCTGAAGAGCCTGGTTGATCAGCCACGAACACTTGTTGTCCTGGATATCAGTGCCGATCTTGCCAATAACGGCCGGGTCACCATAGGCGTCCAGGTAGTCGTCCTGGACCTGGAAGTACTGACCCAGCGGGATCAGGATGTCGTGGGTCTGTTGGAGGTTCTCCGGGGTGGCGAGTTCGAGGTAGAGCAACGCAAGAGCAACGGGAAGGTAGAAGCTGTAGTAAGCGGTTTTGTAGGTCACGATGAACATGTACTTCTCCATGGAGAAGTTGTCCAGGTCAATTTTGTCCTCAGGGGCCGTAATGAGATCGCACAGCTGACCGAGTTCCGTCTGCCAGGTGGTCTCGTGGAACAGCTCAATTAAATCGACGTAGGCCGGGTGTGAGCGAAAGTGCTTCTTGAGGATAACGTAGATGCCGGACTCGAGCATGAACGAGTCGTTGATAGCGATCATCCCAACTCCGGGGTGGCGGTACCAGCAAGGCTGGCCACGACGAGTAATCGAGCCATCCATTATGTCATCGCTGACCAGGAAGAAAGCCTGGAGCAGCTCGGTCAACCAACCCAGCATGCTGAGATGCTTGAACTGCTCGTCGGTCAGGGGCTTCTGCAGTAGAGCGAGGCCGGTATCTGGAACAGAGAGGCCGCGATTGAGCTTTCCACCAGGAACGTTGACATTGAGGACCTATCGAAGGAATATTGGTCAGCTTCAAGGTTGTTCTGAGATCGATTGTCAGCGAGCGCGTCGGCCGGGGCTCACCTGTTCAAACCACTTCAGCGCATTCTCAGGCAGATTGTATTTCTTAGCATGGGCCAGGAGATCTTCGGCCAACGCGGGGAAAACAGCCTGAAAGGCTTCACGACTGGTGGTAGTCGCCATCCTGCTTGTACTGAAAGTGTCCTTGGGGAACAATGCAGTTATTTTCGAGCCCCTTTTTAAGCAATTGATGTTGCCGAGTAATACTACCAAAGCTGTGGTTGGGCGGAAAACATCTGCGATAACGGAAACCCCTCAAACAGAGATGTTTGCATTGTTTGCTCTCTTTGGCCCAATCGGGAAATTTGTCGGTCATCTATGATGATGATGATCACTCGTCTATGCACTGTCAGGTTCTCCCTCACAGCATTTGGGGTCGTATCTGCATATATTTGAGATAATACGGCTGTCAGTACCTGTGGACTGCCTGGACTTACATGGGATCAGCAGCAGCAGCTCTCTCGTGATCATCTCAGCGACAACAGTCCGTGTCGGCCATTTCGCGATTCGAGCAAGGCGCGACAATAGACTCAACGCGACTGTTGGGATAACTAGCGCCATTCTTGATCCGCATGAGAGACGAATGTGATAGCGGTTTAACTACCGAGGAGGAAGCTTCACAACGCGTCCAACGACGTATGCCAACACGCCATAGGAGACTTCTGTGAGATAGGATCTTGGAAGATCCTCAATCCTGATCAAGATGGCGGTGAATATAACGGAAGACAATATCAAGGATCTACAGTATCGATTCGAAGATGCGACCATCAAATGCTCCGAACGATGTCTTTACCAATCTGCCAAATGGTACAGGCCAAGATTGACCCTTTGCTAAGCGTTAAACTGATTTGACTTCCTCAAACACAGGGCTGCCGAGATGCTCGACTCCCTCCTGCCGATTGATCAATACGATACAGATCCTGACTCGCCAATGGAAATAGCTGATGCCCCGCCGACTCCCCAGAATCCTTACCTTCGCAGCCAAGACCCTCTCGAACTTGGGTTAGAGGCCCAAGAAGCTCATAAATACCTGTTGGCGAAATCCTACTTTGATACGCGCGAGTATGACCGCTGTGCTGCTGTCTTCCTTCCACCAACCATACCCCCTGTTCCACTCTCCAGCACATCACTTCCTACGACATCGCCGAAACCGAAAACGAGACAATCATTGACTCCACAGAAAGGCAAAGCCAAGGCTACTTCGTACTCGAGTGCCAAAGGGAATAGCACGGCAAGGAATCCATATCCCAAGCTGAGTCAGAAGTCATTGTTCCTCGCCTTGTACGCCAAGTATCTAGCGGGGGAGAAGCGAAAGGATGAAGAGACCGAGATGGTTCTGGGCCCGGCCGATGGAGGGATGACCGTCAACCGGGAACTCCCCGGCTTGGCTTGGGGGCTTGAAGGGTGGTTTGCGGAAAGACGAGAAAGAGGCCTGGAAGAGCGCAACCAAGGCTGGCTGGAGTATCTTTACGGTGTTGTCCTTCTAAAAGGTCGCAATGAAGAGGAAGCCAAGAAATGGCTTATCAGGAGTGTTCACTTGAACCCATTTCATTGGGGTGCTTGGCAAGAGCTGAACGATTTGCTTTCAAGCACGGAAGACGTACGTTACCTTGCTGTTGCTGATCTGTTGCCGGTTACTGATCTTTGCGCAGTTGAAACAAATAGTGGACCTTCTCCCTCAGAACATCATGACCCTCATCTTTCACGTTTATTGCAGTCAAGAGCTCTACCAGGCGACCGAAGACACCTATCAGGCCCTGTCAGAGCTAGAGACGATCTTCCCCACCAGCGCGTTCCTAAAGACACAAAAAGCGCTTCTCTATTACCATTCGAAAGGTTCTGGTCTTTCTGCTCCCGTCCAAACTCTAGGCTAATTATCCTAGTAGACTTTGAAGAAGCATCACATATATTTACAGAGATATTGATAACGTCCCCTCACCGTCTTGACAGCCTTGATCACTACTCCAATATACTTTACGTCATGGGAGCGCGTCCACAGCTAGCCTTCGTCGCCCAGGTTGCAACCGCCACCGACAAGTTCCGCCCTGAAACGTGCTGTGTTGTCGGCAATTATTATTCCCTCAAATCCGAACATGAGAAAGCTGTGATGTACTTCCGGCGTGCTCTCACACTTGATCGAAACTTTCTCTCGGCCTGGACCCTCATGGGCCATGAATACATCGAAATGAAAAATACCCACGCGGCAATTGAATCCTACCGCCGGGCCGTTGACGTGAACCGCAAAGATTACCGTGCTTGGTACGGGCTGGGCCAAGCGTACGAAGTGCTCGACATGTCATTCTACGCCTTATTCTACTACCAGCGCGCGGCAGCGTTGCGGCCCTACGATCCCAAAATGTGGCAGGCGGTGGGATCCTGCTATGCCAAGATGGGCCGTGTCGAGCAAAGCATTAAAGCGCTCAAGCGCGCTCTCGTCGCCGGTTCATATTACGCAGACGACGCCTCACAGAGCGGTGGAATGGGCGGACCGGGGCGCAAGATTCTCGACCCCGAGACCCTGCACCAGATTGCCACCCTCTACGAGCGGCTCGGGGATGAAGAAGAAGCCGCCGCATACATGGAGCTCACTCTACAGCAGGAAACTGGCCAAGGTCCAGAGGATGAATCCTTTGTCTCAGACAACGACAACGACGATGACCAGTCTGGTGGTGAAGGCCAGCAAGGCTCACGGCGCGCTCGACAGTCGTCTTCGTTCGGCAACCAGAACGATAGCGAGGAGGGTACATATCATGGTACCGGTGTGACGGCTACGACATCCAAGGCACGTCTGTGGCTTGCGCGGTGGGCCTTGCGCCACGGTGACCTGGAAAGAGCAGACCAATTGGCGGGTGAACTATGTCAGGACGGAGTCGAAGTCGAGGAGGCAAAGGCATTGATGAGAGATGTCCGGGCCAGACGAGAAGGGGATGTATAATTTCTACGGAATCATCTCTACGTTGACGTACTCTTTTTATGAAGCTTAGCGAGGGCGTTATGTCGAGAAGGGATAGGTAGGGTATAACTTGATATAGACCAATATGACGTACAATTAAAGTAGCAATAGCATGGCCGAATATCCATTGAACAACATTGCATGTAAAGGATAAACCAACCTGCATTCGTAAGCAAATCGCAGTCTGTCCTTCAGAGACTGATTGGATTCTCCCTTCAATCTTCTTATATACACATTCACTCATCAGTCTATCATTCCATGGTCGAGTCCAAAGAACGCCTGTAAATAAAAGAAGTTTCCAAACAGTTCTCCCAGGCAATAAACTCCCCAGCTCCTGACCCGACGGTATAAAATGGACCCCAAACACAAGGGATGTCTAGAAGCTCTAATCTCCCAGAACCCCCAATTCGCGGCTGTCAAACGTTATAGAAATACGAGGCGCTCTCGCAGCACTCTGTGCTCTAATCAACTCCCGAAGACGTAACTGATGACCACCACCATCCACTGGGGTCCCGGGTATCTCTGAAACGCAAACACCATCATCCGAGTACTCAGCGCCTGTCTCTGAGCTCCACGATACGCAGGCATAGAAGTATTCTCTCCCAATACTCTCCCATGTCGTGCGAAGGAGAAATCTGGGGTCGTCTAGTCTTGCCTTGAGAGTGAGGAATTTGGCATCAAGGATGAAAATCTTGCCGTTTCGCGGAGATTTATGTCCGTTCGATTTGAGTGCTGCTGAGATCTGTTGGCTCAGTTCGAGAAGAAGGTTTCCGAGCGAGCCTTGCGGTATTGTTGCTATATACATGCCCAGGGCAAGGTCATGGTGTACCGTGCTTGAATTGAGGCTCTTGGTATGAGGATATTGTCTGTTTGAGCATACTTTCTGTACGAAGTCCTGGAAATCCTTGGCGAGATTGGACGAGTTGGAAGGGATTAAGCTGTTGGCAGAGTCATCATGAACCAGGTCCTGACGGAAGTACAATGGAATAATTGCCAGCGGTGACTCGATGCATGATTGTTGATCGCTCCAAGAGCTAGGAACGATGGGAGTGACAGTGGCGGTATCATTCTCGGTGAGCTTTCGACGCTTTCTCGGTTGCAAAGGTAAAGTTATGCAGGCTCCCAACTCATTTGAGGCATTCGATGGAAGGATGGTTTCATTCTCCTCGCCGTAACCAGCACTGTTACCTTTGGACGGTCCGGAGGAGGACTCCTGGTTTTGTCTTTTACTACTTCTTTGAATGGACGATAGGTTGTCGTTGTTTCTCAGAAGCTTTCGAGGCGGCTCGGATGGGTCAGGTGACGATGCTGATGTCGTAGAATCATCCACGAAAATGGGAATGGGATCTGCTGGTGCACGCTCCCCATTAACGCGATTCGATTGCTGGATGGAGTCACTCGACGGATGTGGCACTTGGGTTCTGATAACCGTCGTGGCGATAACTTCGAATGACGGTCCCTTGCTCGGACTAGATGATGCCATCGGACACGAGCTTGTCCCAGTGGACGTCGTCTGTGACTTGGTCACGATATAGTGCGATGATACCTGTCCTTGCTGAAGCTGTCTTCTCCACTCTTCCTCTTGGTGTAAGTCTTCTGCTGGTACCATCCGAGCTTCTTCAGCTAATAATTGGAGCTCTTGGTACGAGGCTGCCTCTTCGAATGACCTGTCCAGGAAAATCTTTTGAATTCGAGGAAATCGAAGTGTAAAGTATCTGGCACCTGATGGCTTCTCGAATCCTCCTCCCAACATCTCAACGACGAATGGTTTCTTGAACACGGTATTCATGTCGGAGAGACTATCCTTTCCAAATTCTATCCAAAAGCCATGGCCTGAATCCAGACTGCAAGCACCAAACTGCCCAAACTGATTGAGAATTTGCATATTTTTCAGGCTCATGGAGTGACGGTCAATCACATCCATAACTTGAAACCTTGGCTCAGCTGCGGACTGTAGGACCGCGTCTTTGTTGACCAGACAGCCAATGAAAAAGTGTGTCCAAAATATCTTCGTGGATAAACTCAACGCAGCAGCATCACGAGAGTCATATTTCGCGCCGATCAATGCCAAGTCCACGGTGTCACCCAACCCTGGTATATAGTCCTTCTTAAGCTTGATCCAGCGACCAGCGGAGCCGTTCTCCGAACCAGGAAATACGGAAAAGTAGGGATCTTCACAACCTTTGAGGACGAGTCCTTCCCACCTTTCTGTAACGGCCTTCGAGAATATTGTTTCGAGACGCGATCGACCGTCAGGACGGGAGAATTCGACGATGTGTTGCTCTGCAATGTCCGCATATCCATCTGTTACTTTTACGACATCCTTTAGAAGCAGCCGTCGCTCACGATGTGGTTTTCTAAGGCAGATGTCGTCATCGAGAAGAAGAATGTCGAAGAACACAATCATTAAATGCTCATAAGGTTGCGGTCTAGCGCAGATCAGCATTGGTTAATGCCGTGTGGTCATGCTCCTTCACTTACGGGGAATCATTGCCTATTCCAATATAGGTGCCTGAGCGAGCAATGAATTTGCGCAACTTATGAAAATCTGCGATCTTGCCGTGATTATCGCTCCAGACGAGTATCTCGCCCTCGAGGATGCACTGGCGAGAGAATTTGCATTCGGGCGTACCGATGTTCAGAGAGTCCTTGATCGCAGAGTGGACTCCCGCCCTGTCGTCGGTAGAATCCTTGCCACTTTTGGAGAAAATTTGGATGGGATTGGGGCGCTTCGTGAGGTCAATGTGTATCTGGCAGTATTCCCCATCATACTTCCTTTCTACACTCATTCGACGACGGCCGATCATTTGGCAGCAATGTTTGATACTTCGCGCCTTATAGTACTCGGGACGCCCTATCTTGGTCCCAATCCCAGGTTTGAGATGCTGTAAGACCTGCATATACAGATCTTTTGCGAGCTCCGGAATTGGATTCGGTGGGTAGTGGCTAAGAGGTTCGGAAGCAAGCATTTTTAGAGCAGAATCAAAAGAATCCTGGAAAAGCAGTAAATGCGGAAGCAGGAAATGAAACCTTTTCATCGTGAGCTTGGCCGGTAACACGACCGGATGATAACTCTTTAGTATCATTCGAGTAAGCCATTTTGCGTCTCTACTGCTCATGCGCCGATATAATGGTCTCAGTGTATCCTCGACATCAACCGCGCTATGCTGCCTTCGCACTCGAGAACCGGAGAACCTGCATCGCGAAGCAATCTTGTTCAATGCCAAGTCTATCTCTTCGACAGTCACCTCTTGTCCGCTAATGATGTCGAATTCCGCTTGTCCCATGACATTTTCTACACATTGCCCCAAGTCGGTACCTCCCGCGACGCGCCATCGCTCGAGCTCCTGGCGTCGATCAGCACCTAGCAAAAGACAACGGCCTATGACCCTTGCAAGATTGGTGCACTGTAGCCAGTAGACTCTGTCTGTTCGTTTCTCTGGAAACATGCATGACAAAAGAGCTAGTCGATCCGTGTCGGAAGCATGAATCCGTTTGCCATGTTGGGCAAACCATCGGGTCACGGCACGATCATCAGGATTCGAGATTTTTGACGCAGTAGAAGCCTTTAAGACTCTACTACGCTCCAATTCTGAGAGCAAATCGCACAGGTAGGTGAACTTGAACACCATGAATGGGTATGAGCGATGATCCTATCGTGGTTGCCACTTCCTAGGGCAAAGACCATGAGTGGACCTAGCGTCTGAGCGAGCTTCGCAAGGTGTCTTTGGCAGGCTGACAGATGGCAACCACATGCCTCTTCGATTACTTCGTGAGATCAGAAAATTTGCGACGTCTCCTCAGTGAGAGACAATGACGCGAGGACAAACCGTGGGCGCGTCCATGGGTCACGAAAACACGTGACCTGTACCAGATCTTTTGAAACTCTACAGGATCGTTATGTATAATTATGTTTTGGGAGAAAGACAGCATTTCTCAATGTCAATCAGTTCTAAATAGAGTACATAAGGCGCAGGGCCGTCATAGTCGTGGTGAGATAAATAGTCAAACCCAATCAATACCGTCCCAACGAGCAAGTTAATATCATATGCTCAAAGAGAAGAAGACCGCTTAACTCCAGGCTTTTACTCTGAACGGACCAAAGCAAGGAACGAAAGGCACATTGAGCAGAAGGATCACAGAATACCCTGTTTTTGCAGACTGTAACAAGTTAGCATCGTTTTGCTTCTTGAGGAAAAGGAAAACGTACTCAAGGTAGATCCTTTCTGGCATCACATTACCCTCGGCATCCTCCATCTGCACCACGTTATCGCGAGACTCCCGTTCCTTCTTACGATCCTGATCAAGCTTCTCCCACAGCTTGATGGCGTCTTCAATTCGGGTAATTTCTCGGAAGAGATTAGTATTTGACGTGATTCCCAGACACTTCAGGCCGAAAATGTGTAAGGCTTCCGAAAAGTGCTTGTCGAAAGCGCGGCGACCCATGTAAACAAAGTTTCCGCAAATCTCACAAGTATACTCGACGCCCAGACCGTGCAGCTTGTACAGCCAGTAAGGAATAGGCTTGCCGTCCCATGCCAAAGGAAGCTTGAGTGGGTTGTAAATCCTCTCGTCCCCTTCATCATCGGACTGTTCGTTGCCCCCAGGACCGCCAGCGTTTTCAAATTCAGTCATCAAGGCCTCCAGCTCCATCTGCCGCTCGCGCTCAGTCATGCCCTGCCTCCGCTCAACGTTGATACGGGTCGCCTGACGTTCAGGGTCGAGGACCTTGGCTAAAGAGCGAACTCGGTGCTCGCGCTCAGCAACTGCGCGTTCTTTCAGACGGTGGGCCACAGAGGTAACGCCACCAACTGACGGTGGCGCACCCGCGCCTGAGTCACCTGCAGCTTTGCGAGCTTCGGCGGCCCGAATGTGCTTCTTGCCAGTCAAATGATTCTTATAAACGTTTTCGTTCTTGAATTCTCTTTCACACTCGGCACACCAGATGCCTTCTCCCGAGCCTTGTGTCTTTGGAGCCTGAGTACCATTTTCAACGCTCTCCTCTGTCCATCCAGGCACTTGGTTTGCTGCCCATTGTTTCTCGAAGTCTTCATCAAAGCTTGCGAAAAGTTTGTCGAGGTCCTGCAGCGGTTTTGTGCGTTTGATAAAGCTTTCCAAGTAGCCGGCAAGCTCTACGACATACTTGAAGTACTTGTCGGATATCTTATTCGCTCGCTTGATAAGGAGATGTGGGGGTACGAATGAGTCGAACACGTCGAGATATTGAATGTATGAAAGTCGCTTAATGCCAGGAAGGTTCAGATAGTCCTCGTGTAAGGTTGTGAGATCCAGAAACTGGCCGTAGGCCTCCTCGCCGGAGAACATCGTGTCGATTTCTACTCCCGTCGGTTCGCCCTCAACAGGTGGACGGCGCTTGTAGGCTCTCTCGAGGTTTTCAACCGGCTCATTAGGATAGCGCTTGTGGAAGTCTTTGATCTCATCCAGCTGCCGGTAAAACTCGTCGAACTGCTCACCAGTGGAGATGGCCTGAATCTCCTTTTCGCGGCCTTTGTCTGCATCTTGATAGATTTGGAGTAACCTCTTCGACTGCTCTTCTATGCGCGACAAGAAGTGAGCAATCTCATGGTCACGAGCAAGGCGCTGCCGAATCTGAAAAGAAAGCAACAATCAGCTCTGGTCAATGCAGCAAGACAGACGGATATCTTACGTTACGAGGTTCTTCAGCGATGCGGTCTGCGATTGCTTGCTCTAACCTCTCAAGATCCTCATGGATGAATCTCTGTTCTTCAATAACCATGATGAAACACCTGCGGAATGATCTTCCCCTTAACAAGTGCGTTATCTTCGATGCTCTGGACGTTATGCGGCAGATTGACGCCGCTTTGAGCTTTGCGGCGAGTATCATCACGTGATTCCAACAGTGGCACTCGCGCCGCAAACTCAAGTTGCGCTCACGAAGGGTCACATCTCCAGACCAACATCAATCGAGCTGATCGCATTCTCTACAACCTTCTGGAACAAGCAAGATGGCTGACGGTATTGATCGACGGACAGATGGTATGCGGATGATGGACTTTATGAAGAGATATGGACTAACGGCGCAAATTCAGACAGGCTGGAGTTCAGCACCTCGAAGGAGGTCACGGTTGCCCCGACCTTCGAGGATATGCACCTGAAGGAAAGCCTCCTTCGTGGTATTTATGCTTACGGCTACGAATCCCCCTCCGCCGTCCAGTCGCGAGCAATTGTCCAGATTTGCAAGGGTCGTGACACGATCGCTCAAGCGCAGTCTGGTACTGGTAAGACCGCCACATTTTCGATCAGTATCCTGCAAGTTATCGACACTGCTGTGCGCGAGACACAAGGTATGCCACTTAATACCCGTTTTGTATTCGATGAAGCGACCCTAACTAGCCTCAGCTCTTGTCCTTTCGCCGACCCGCGAACTTGCGACTCAGATTCAGTCGGTCATTATGGCCTTGGGAGATTACATGAATGTACAGTGCCACGCTTGTATTGGAGGCACAAATATCGGCGAGGACATTCGGAAGCTGGACTACGGCCAGCACGTTGTTTCGGGTACTCCAGGCAGAGTCGCCGACATGATCCGTCGACGCCACCTGCGCACTCGGCACATCAAGATGTTGGTTCTTGATGAGGCTGACGAACTTCTGAACCGCGGTTTCCGTGAACAAATCTACGATGTCTACCGCTACCTCCCTCCCGCTACACAGGTTGTTGTCGTTTCCGCCACTCTCCCCTACGATGTCCTCGACATGACGACGAAATTCATGACAGACCCCGTCCGCGTTCTTGTCAAGCGTGACGAATTGACTCTGGAAGGCATCAAACAATACTTCATCGCGGTTGAGAAAGAAGAATGGAAGTTCGATACTCTTTGCGACCTCTACGACACCTTGACCATCACGCAGGCCGTGATCTTCTGCAATACCCGCCGGAAGGTCGACTGGCTGACTGATAAGATGCGCGAAGCCAATTTCACAGTATCCAGCATGCACGGCGAAATGCCACAGAAGGAACGCGACAGTATTATGCAAGACTTCCGCCAGGGCAACTCTCGTGTTCTCATCTCCACCGACGTCTGGGCTCGTGGTATCGACGTTCAGCAAGTCTCGCTCGTCATCAACTACGACCTACCCACCAACCGTGAGAACTATATCCACCGTATTGGTCGAAGTGGCCGTTTCGGAAGAAAGGGTGTCGCCATCAACTTCGTCACCAGTGATGATGTGCGCATTCTCCGTGACATTGAATTGTACTACTCGACCCAGATCGATGAGATGCCTATGAATGGTAAGCCCCGCATCCTTCACTCGCTTTTCGCTCATGACACAACGATATACTAACCCTTGTCCAGTCGCTGATCTCCTTTCGTAATCGACTCTCATCTTGATATCTCCAAATTTCGTCACGAAAAACTGCCCTCAGCTCCTGTGTCATCTCACCTCCCGAAGAAACAACGCGGAAGGACTTCATCAGTGTGCCTCGTCACAAAATACCAGGAAGAATAGAGGCAAAACCAGCGCGGGGGAAAGGGGGAGTTTTACCAGAATGGTGAGCTTCACTACCTATCTTTTAAATCAGATCCGCAAGCAGGAAAAATGAGAACTGACGTTATCTATTCAACTAGTTCATACAAATTTTGACGTATATCAGACCACTATCGGAAAACGCCAGGGTCATCTGATTCACGAAAAACTGTAAAACATCCATCTCGTCTATTTCATTTCGGAGTTCAATTTAGTCATTCGGGGATCTTGCTTCCTTAGCTGGTTTGGGAATTCGATATCGATTTGAAATAATGCCTGGATACTGAAAACCATAAAAGTAATTTCGTTGGTATTCTGGTTATTGCAACCTTGAGTCCACGGGTCCAGTAATGTATGGGAGGATTTACGATAACGTTAAGGCTGAGCAAATAATAAAGAATTGATGGATTTCCTTAATATTTCGTAGAGAAGAAGCCAATATCTCCAAATACACTCGCCTGACCCGTTTCCTGTAGTTCGCCGCAACCAGCCGAGTCTTTCGAGCCCATGAGAAAGGAAAGCCAAATAGGAAGCATTGTATGTAAGCTGGTGATGATGTATTCATGTGCAACTGCCGACCACGAAGCAATCCATCAAAATGCTCGCAGCGAATGCAAAAAGGAATCTGTGATACCAAAACCAGGGCGCCTGCTCCCTATATCATATGAAACCACAGCCAGACTAATGATGTGTATATGCTGTTAAGAGTGAAGGAAATACTGAATCTAGGAATAAAGGGGCGATTCTGTGTCTTTTCGTCGAAGGCTCTTAAAATGCCTTCTCGCGATGCCAGCCAGACCTTTGGGATGAAAGCAATTTCGTGGACCGGGTTGCTCAGAAACTTGACGTTGATCGTAGTGCACTCGTTCGTGCAGAGCCATTCACTGATACCGCCTCTCTTTTACTAGCTGGGGCATATCGCTGCATGTCACGTTCGCGGGTCCAGCTAGAGTGTTTGTTAGACGAGGTCGACAGAAGTGGACGACGTTATGACTTACATTCTGACAAAGCAGTCATCACCTGCGGATGCAAACATTCCAGGATTTGTAGGATTCCAGGATATCGCGTTGACACAACCTGAAATATGACCCTCCAACGTTTCTACTAGCGTACCATTTTCTTTGTGCCATATGTAGACCCGAGAATCTGCACGCTGTCAGCCTGGTACATGCATCTACACGGGAGTAAAAGACACACCTTCGCTACCACTGACAACAAAGTTTTCACCTGCGCCACCAAAGGCGCTTCTGATGACGAAATGACCCTGTTTTTGTCCCTGGAAACGCCTGATAACCTCTGTAGTGTCAAGGTCGATCAGCTGTATCTGACCTTCAGACAGGTTCACAAGCATATATCGTGAATCTCTGCTGACAGCGACAGAAGTGGGTTTGCTCTTCAGTGCGAGACAATATTCCTCCTCGTGAGTCGCAAAGTCATAAACATGAATTTTTTCCTCGACATCCGCAGCGATCAGTCGGCGTCCATCGGGAGTGATGGCGCAATCTTGAACCCTGAAGCCACCATGCCATGTATACAGGGGATCGCCTCGCATGCTCCAGTGGCACAGTTGGGAGCTTAAATCAAGGGACGCTGTCACAAATGACTCCCCATCTGCAGCCCATACGGCAGCCGTTACGGGCTGCCGATGATGATTGATGGTCAGAAGGCAGCGGCCGGTCTGTATTTAAGTTAAATTAGAGACGATAGACGGCCGCCAGAGATTGATGAAGACATCCATACCTCAACACTCCACACGCGGGCTTTCTTATCCTGGGAGCACGTAATGAGCTTAGTATCATCAGGACTCCAACTGACGTGGGCAACACCCTCCTCGTGCTTCTCCAACTGCCGGTACACAGAAAAGTTGGTTGTGTCGTAGATGTATACATGACGGTCCCGCCCGGCCGTGACCAACTTTGAGCCATCATGGGAAAATTGGCAATACCAGACCTCATCTGAATGCTGACTTAGTTCGACTGCGGTACGGAGTGGAAAATCATTTCTATCGCACATATGATCCGAATATAGCGACGGAGGGGTTGCAGTATTATGATATAAGCACCTGTTTATTTGATTTTGCTTGACATGATTTAGCAAAATCGCAAGACGGTTGTTTGGAATCATCACGGATGGGGATATGGATTCTGAAAGGAGATCAGTACTAGGGTCATCAGATGCACACGAAGGTAAATATCTGTACTGACTTGAGAGTTCAGATAATAACCGCTCTCGAGAAGAACTTATGGGCCCTTCCCAGCCAGCTTGGTTATGCAGATGCTCAGGAGGACACATCAACAAGCTACCAGTCCGATCAGTACCACTGAAAATAAAGGAGCTAGGGTCGGGGTTCCTTCTGGAACTCACCTCGAAAGGGCATGAAGGCGTCCAACGTCATAGTTAAGAGGGGTCAGTTCGTGCCGAAGCACGGTCAAGGCCGAGCCAAGATCTCGTGCTTCTAACAATTCGAGAAACTTTTGTTGCCGCAGATAGAATAGCATCTCATTCTTCTCAGCATTTTCCACCAATAGCAGCTTCTCTGTGGTTTCAGGTTTCCCAGAGCTGAAGCCTGTATCTCGCACATCTGCATCAGGGGTGAATGATTGAATCAGGATATCCTCCGCCTCAGCCCAACGCCCCTCAAGAACTGCCTTCCTGAATATACCAACTGCCGGACTTTCCAGCTGATAGCCGCTTTCCATGGAAAGTAGCGAGGCAGCTCCGTCGTATCCTAGCTCATACAGACTTTGTATCAGTATCCTAGTCACTTCTTCTCGGTCGTGCCCGAAATAAGAGGAAGACTTCTTCGATGTTTTCGAGGAGCCATTCTTCTGAGATTCGCCATTTGAGGAGGAGTGTGCTGGCTGGCTGTTGGAAGAGTGAGCAAAGACGGTCTTCCGCGACGGAGATGCACTCAGGCCGTTTGACGCTTGGGAGAAGCCATTTGCACTGGAGATACCATCGGGCCGCATGTTTGCCAGGCGCCTGCGCTTGGGGAACGGTGGGTGTTCTTCCGGCGAAGTATGAGACTGAACGGAGGCCTGTTCCTGACAAGGAGTGTAATTTCCCGAAACACCTCCTGTTCCCCCAGTGGAAGCAGATGTATCGATCGTACTGAAACGTCGACGGCGGGGAGCAGCGGATGTAGGAGGATTGTCGATAGAAGGTGCTGTACTGTTACTCCCAGCACTTGACTCTAACCGTGATGACGATGGGATGCCGTCCGTAGAGCTCCTCGGAGGAGGAGCGGAAGTAAATGACGTGGGCTCGAGTGGGATAGGAAGGTTGGGGCGGTCGGGAGCGACGGAGGAGGGTGTATTAGAGGAAGAGTTGTCTGCCAGGTCGAAGATCGGTAGATCTGCCCTTCCTCCTGGCTCTGGAGCAGAACCAGGCGAGCAGACCTGAACCAGTGGCGGGTTCACCGATACACGCCGGGAGCTTCAGTTTCACGTGTAAGCTTGTCACAGGCCGTCAAGCTCGACGATTCCTGTATGTCTGAAACTGGATTATTGACGTCGTTATGGTAAGAGAGAAATCCAAGTTGTATGTTTATCTGAGCAAAGAGTGGAAGGACGTCGATCGTAGACTCGATGGGCGGAGGTCTTATCGGGGCCTGAGAGTGAGACAGCAGTCCGGGGGAGGGGGAGCCCAACGGGAGCGGTGACGAAGGGGGCACTAAGGAGCCGGAAAATGGCTGTAAGGAAGCCGAGCAGCTTGGTTGATAAGCTCGAATGCACGAAAACAAATAACCACAGCGAAGAAGGAAATACGCTGCAGCGAGAGGTGAGGTTGGAATAAGACGCCGATTCAGTGAAGGTTGAGGTTGAAGTTGAAGCAAGCGGCTGATCGCCTCGTTCGTCGTGGGGCCAGGACAAGTGACTCTACGTCTTAGGGCGACGAGTAATGCCCATCTTTCACAAGTCTGATACCTGTGAACGTCTACAAAATACCTTATGAATTGCTTCCTTCAAAAATTACGTCTCTGATCTTGAGATTATGAGCTCCATTGCATGACAGACAAGGAGTCCGTCGTCTCTAATGTTGCTGTGGGAGTCACAGTCCGGCATATTTGTGGGAAAAGGAGCATCATCACCATCATACCTTAGCTTTCAAGTCCTGATACATTTGAATCTTCGACATCTTAATATTGTTCTATCTACTGCCTCGGAATTTTCGAGACAGCTCTTAGCCAGCCGGACAAACAAAGGCAAGTTCAGGGATAGAGCTTGAACAGGAGCATCTGGATCACCTGAACAGGATCACCGTTGATAAGCTGCAGCTGACTATCCGAACACTATATCACGTTGAAGATAACATCTCTGGTCATTCATAGGTGGGATACAGTAGAGCTACGGATATTCGAGGGACGGTGATGGAGCTCAATCAGCACAACGCATCAGCTGCCCACTCAGTGCCGTTGTCTGGTCACGTAGCGTCATTCCCTGTTTGATTCGATGCTGATGATTGTTTCAAACGTTCCTGGATAACTTTTCTTTCACACATGGGCAATGTCCAAGTCTATTTTGCCTTTTGGGTATTTACCATGCCATCGAATCTACTATTGTACGAATCATCGATGAACTAACTATGAGCAACCCCGCGTATTTCCCATTCCCGCCTCGGGAGTTGGTGTTATTGTTGAATCTCAAGCCATCTGGTACCACTCCAACATACCCAGGTGGCAGTACTATTCTTGAGACAGAGAGACGGACATCCCTATTTGCTGTTGGATTTTCTCTGGCAAGCTATACTGTAGCCGACCTGGAAATCAAATCGAGTTAAATCGCTGAGACAGTGTAAGATATCTCACCACAACAGATAGACAGCAGCATCAGGCATATGTTTCAAGACAACGCCTCGTATTATTGCACCCAGATTCAAGCACATTCCACCAGTTTCATACCCAATCAAACCACATCGAATGATTCAATTTCCGGAATGTTCACAGCGGCAAACCACAGTGGAATGCGGCCTCTGACCTCATCATGATGCTGGTCTAGAACTCGGCTATTGCCGCCGGAAAGTATATAACCCTCTGGCCATGGCCCTTTTGTCGATTCCCACACGGTACTCACCAAGACCCCAATCAGGATACCCGGATTCCACTTCCTCTGATCATTCTTCTACTTCTTGAACATCTTATTCATCATGGGAGATACCTGCACCTGCACTAGCTCCGGCGACTGCCCCTGTAACGGACCTCAGGCCTGCACCTGCAGCAACAACTGTGCTTGCAAGGGTTGCGGAGTACGTATCTCTTGGACTCGCATCAGGAAACTGGTGAGATGACTTGATAAAGGATGGATATGAGGGCTGACCTGCACTTGGGTATAGAAGTAAACCTCTAGCCTTTCTCTATGATTGCTGCAACGACGTGAATCAGTCCAGTAATGTTCGACGGGTGGCGACGATGATTTGAATGAGGACAGTCTGTCTATACCATCATATAATTAAATACCATTGTGATTTCATTGTTCAATCTTACTCTGATACGTAATCCCGGTATACTCTAGTAGGAGAGTCTACTATAAGCTAGTCTAGACGTACATATACAGGCAGTAGAAGCAAGAGCTTTAATTCTGTTCATGGACATACATTCCTATTTTTGTAGATTCTAATTCTTACCATCCAAGGCTGCTCGGGATGCCATCAAAGCGCCTGTAATGGTAAAACATACAAATGGCGAGAGCATATACATGACCTGCGACTAATCAGCATTCCCACCATACCTTAATGAGAGAGAAATGTCTTACAGTCAGAGTCTTTGCGACGGCCATCTTTTCTGCTTCTGAAATCTTTGCCAGCTCTGCAAAGCCTGATATCACCAATGCAGGAGGCCCAGCTGGCATCAGCATCAAGCTGAACCACAAGATTGGATCGTAGCGGACAAGGCTCGTTCGTTTGGCCAGCATGTAGATGAGGGAGATGCTGATTCTGTGACCTTGATGGTTAGTGCTAGGTACAGCAAGCGTCCGGACACCGAGCACTCACGCAGGCCAAATGACAAGGCGAACCAGGAAGATTGTCACAATTGCTTTCTTAGGTATCTCCCCGGAATTACCACTGGCCTTCATCCTCTGGAAGCTAGCACCCAGTTTTCCACCCACAACGAAGATCTGTAAGGTCGTGAACAACTTGCCGATATTCTTAACGCTCGACGTAAGCCAGGCGTTGAAGATCCCGCCTTCCTCGTAGGGTCTGAAGAATGCTCTGTGCAACTGAGGGACGAGACCAAGCGTAGCACCGATGATAGTGCATAAGATCGCAACGTCGGCAAACGGCGACTCAAACGGCGCCATCAGTTCCTGCTTCACACGCTTGGGCAAGAAAGCTGACACCCAGCGGCCTACACGCCTGAACTTGCTGGAGACCTTGCGCCGGGCCTTTTGCGCGCGCTCCGGCAGAAGCGAGGTCTCCTCGTCGGCTTCCCCGTCGTTGTCTGCGTCGTCGTCATCGTCGCCGCTCTGTCCTGCTTCAGCGTCGGTATCCTGTGCATCTCTCCCTTCGTCCTGGTCATTGCCATTCTGGAGCATCTTGGGTCCGACGGCGTAGCCGATGGTCTTGCTGACGACAGCGCAGAGGAGGAAATAGCTCTGAGCGCGGGCAATCGCGTCGGACATGGAGTCACCGTCTGGAATGATCAGTTTCAAACTTCCCACGCTCTCCAGAGATTGCAGGAGGAGCAATGGCAGCGAGGTGGTGTTGTTGAATGCGCATGCAGGCGTTACCCAAACTGGGAGTCCCAGGCCTCGTGATACAGCGTGAGCGAGTCCGATGGAGGCAGAGGTATACAGAGCCGCCCATACTGTAAATTGAACAATCAGTCTCCCAACCAGGCTACTATTGTTGGTGAACTTGGTGACTGTTGCGGTAATGCCTCACCTAAGACAGGAACATAGTTCAGGACAATGTCCGCATGCAGTTGTTCGCCTAGATGGACAACAATTAAAGCTGGAAGAAAGAGCTTCACGCTCAGACCGGCCATATCACTTATTGAGCTCTCCTTCACCAGTCGAAGCCGTTCGGCTATGGCTCCATAGCTCATGGTAAGGAGGACTGAGACACATGCTTGGAGCGCGCCGAGGAACGGTGTGATAATTGGGCCCTCCAGCATGACGGACTACAGGGGACTGATAAAGCTTTGAGAATCAATTTTTGGGTCATCCCAATGGCGTGTTTAATGTGCCATTGCATGTTCTTATGGACTTATCTAATTCTCGCTGGTCGTGATGGATGTCGTCATCATGTCGAAAGAAACACAGGGGCACAGTGGATCTGCCCGCCAGCTCATGCGACAAGTTGCCAAAACTGAACAGCCTGGTCTTACTGTCGCTTCCATGGACGGGCTTTCAGGATACAAGGAGAGCTCCAATTAGACAAGATCTTAATTCCACCTGGTGAATGAATTCTAACCAACTCCGGAGCAAATTTAGTCGTAGCAGGTTTGCCTTTCAAACTGCCCTGGAGAAGTGGTCTGCTACCCACCCAAGTTTAATGATCTCTAACCCTTGCTGAGGAACATTCGTGCCTTAGGAACGGTGTAGTTTATTTAGTAAGTGCAAAATGCTGCCCAACAGTGCGCCAGCAGCAACAATGGCAAACAGAAGACCCATAAGCGCCAGATACTCTACCCCACGCTTGATCCGCTTTGGTGATTTGCGTTTCCCCAGTCGTGTGGTACGAGTGTAGAAAGGCACATATTTGAATTCGAAGAATGTCTCCCCCCCGAGCCCTTCGTCCTTGTCATTGATTAGCTTATAGTATTTCCTGCGACGAAACTGCGATTCATCAGCACAGAGATAGTCGACAGTTAGTGCCTGAAGCAAGACGCGTATTCTCACCTTGATCATTGCTTGATCAATAGGCGGAAACAATCTGAAAGTGTAAGCAAACCACATCACGACAACGCAGTACCCATATACGAGCGCCTGGTAATAGAGGTTGGGCCGCGGAATATCGAGCTCGTCAGACAGCTGCTTGCCATTGAGGTGCCGAACCATGGCCTCCATAAACTTCTTGGATGCATAAGTGGGAGCGGTGTCTTCAAGACTCAAGATGATGTTCTGCGCCAAAATCTTACTCATTTCGGTGGGATCTATTTCCGACGCGAGGAGGGATTCCATCATGGCTTTTCCCTTAGCCCTCGTCTCGAGGAACTCATGCGGTGTGCCCATATAGTACGCCACCAGCCGCCACAGGGCGAGGTAGTCATCAATCTCTCGCTCTCGCAGCAAGATACCCTGCCGAGGCAATCCAATCCAGATTACGCTTGTCGAAAAGGTATTGATAGTGGCTATGCAATCAAGGTCATTAATAGGAATGCCGAAGTTGTCAACATCGTAATATTCAGGCTTGTTCTTGACCAGGTGCAATATTCGTGAACGGACAGCAGCGTGAAGCAACCGCACCCGAACAGATGAGGCGTGACCAGCTCTTCCTGGTCTCATGGAATCCACAGACCCGACGACCTGAAGAACGTGTTGAAGAGTCTCCAGCATCCTGCGTCGTGCGACATCCGCGGAGAATCCTCCAGTCCTTGCTAAAGTTTCGACGACGCGTCCAGAACCCCTGCCGCAAATGTTAGTTCAGTTTCATTGATAGTGTTGCAATAAGTAGTCGGACATTCCGCCCAATAAACTCTGAAAAGTAAGCTATATATGATGTTGACGTTAGTCCATCATTTGCAATCTACAGAAAAATGTTCCAAGCTTACCACGTTGAGCACTGGCATTCCATAACGGTAGAATACTTCTTGTCCTCTCTTAATCTGTTCCCAGTCAACCCAGTCAGGAATGGTGTTGATCTCGTCCCAGAATTCTTTGATCTTGAGATCATCATCATGATGCTTTTCTAGCAAAACGTATAGGTCTCTCTTTGCTGGTGTGGACGTCGATTCTTCGTTCTTAGTAGTGTCTCGACGAGGTACAGGTGAGATTTCATTTAGCCTTTGAAGACAGTCATCTGCAAGCTTGTCGTAAGTGAACATCAGCGGACGTAGCTGTTCCGCTGGTCGATGAAGATCGGTCCATTCGAACTTGTAACCCCAGTAGTCGCACACATCCTGGGCTTCATGGTTTGATGAAATCATATCTTGTAGCACAGCAAGTAAGCTTTCACCCTATGCTGAATATATCACGTAGCGTGCTTATGTTGTCATGGAAGAGTGCTCTGTAGAAGTTGTTCTTCTGAGCAATTCCGGCAACAACCTGAAACATCCTCCCGTATATACAGTGCTGCTGGCATGCACCTGCTCGCATGAGTTTGAAGCTGGAAGGCCATGTTTTCCGACAAGCCAAACCGAAGCTGCCACCCATGGATCGAGGCAAGCCACTAGTGGCTAGGCGGCTTTGCGGTTTGACATGTGAACGCAAGATAGAACTATTCCAAGAGGTAGACTAGAGCACAGTAAGGTCAAATGACTCTGTGTGGGGGAGTCTAGGTAGATCCTATCTCTGTGGATCATAGTTGTCACGGCCATGTGTTATGCATGTGCAAGTATTTAGCCCTTCAATCTTACTCTATCAGTCCCTGATCATGGATGGGCTTATGGAGGCAAGGGTATGACGGGTTCCAATGGTTGTCATGACCAGAGCTGAGTCTCTGCCCCAGGCACCTACGAGATCTCCTGATTATTATCAAATGGCTGCCACGAAGACAACGCTCTGAAAGGTCGACCACGACTGTCCATATTTAGACCTTAAGAGATGTGCCGATGAAGTGCATCAATTCTGGAATTATGGAGCATGGTAGGTCAGAAAAAGCATATAGTGTGGTTGACACTCAGTGCGCTGAAGTTTCCACAAGAAGGCCTCAACTGTGTGTTAAGAACACAGTTGGTGCTCGATCTTCCAGTGGTCGGTAAGCAAGCGCCTTATCTTTTCAAGGCTCTGAAGATGTAGTCCAGTCTATCATGCTTCTTTAGAGACATTCCTCCAGAAACGAATTGCTGTAAGGTTCGACCTTCTGTCCCTCACCATCTACTTACTGATAGATCAGCAGTCGCAGGCTGCATTCTTGGACCAAGTTCATGGGCCTTATAGTGTCTGAAAGTGGTGTTAGCTGCAGGTCAAAGATTGTATTAAATTCTCTGTAAAGCCTCAGTCAAGCTTCTTCTAACCGCAAAGTGCACCAGCAAAATCTGGAAGTAAACGGCCAAATGTTAGATAGTGGTAACAGAGACCTCGACGGCACTTGTTTTGATTTAGTGCCAATACAGGACTGGGGCAGACAAGACCAAGCCGGCTGTGTAGGATGGCTGAGTAAACTTACGATCCCATCAATTTCCCTGGTAGTTTGAGTGATCTGCGGCATATGTGCCTTCTTGTATCAAAAACCAATCCCACTTACGAATTTGATGCTGGGTTTGGGTAGACCTCGACTCAAAGCACGCCCCTCCTTGCTGGACCTGATTGCCAGTCGCGGCGTGGTTGATCTCTCCGAATCCAAGCCGTCATCACCGCCCGGACCAGACGAACTGCCACCGCTCCCCGTTTCACCCACTTCAACGACCTCTAGCTTAAGTAGCAGCAGCAGCAACATCGAGCTTCCCTCATCCCCGTCCTCTTCATCCATACACACACCAGTTCCACGTATAATGGCTCCTTCTGGTAAGGACAAGACTGGTGAGGACCAGAATGGCATTATCTTCTCCATATCTGGCCCCGTTGTGGTGGCCGAGCACATGATCGGCTGTGCCATGTATGAGCTGGTAGGTCATTATTGACGTTTCAATATATGGTCGAGCTTAGTTTAGCTGACTGAAATGCTCTTTCCAACTTTAGTGCAGAGTCGGACATGATCAGTTGGTTGGTGAAGTCATTCGACTCGATGCAGATAAGGCTACCATTCAGGTATACGAGGAGACAGGTACAGCTCCGCATCCACATTTTGACGAACTGTTACTGGCAACTATGAGTCTAACGTTTTCCTCTTCCATTCTCTAGCTGGTCTAACGGTTGGTGATCCTGTTATGCGGACGGGCAAGCCTCTCTCGGTCGAGCTTGGTCCCGGCTTGTTGGAAACAATCTACGATGGTATCCAGCGACCCCTGAAAGAAATCGCTGCTCATTCGAAGGGCATCTACATTCCTCGTGGTATTGCAGTGAATGCATTGGATCGCAAGAAGAAGTGGGACTTTAAACCCGGCAAGTTCAAGGTCGGCGATCACATCACCGGGGGTGACATTTGGGGTACCGTATTTGAAAACAGCTTGTTCAACGACCACAAGATCCTCCTCCCTCCCCGCGCTAGAGGTACCATTACCCGGATAGCTCCTGCTGGCCAGTACACTGTTGAAGAGAAGCTCCTGGAGATTGAATTCAACGGACAGAAGTCGGAACATGGTATGATGCACTCTTGGCCTGTTCGTGTGCCCAGACCGGTCAATGAGAAACTGCCGTCTGATGCGCCCTTCATCGTCGGCCAAAGAGTGCTGGACTCTTTGTTCCCCAGTGTACAAGGCGGTACTGTTTGCATCCCGGGAGCTTTCGGTTGCGGAAAGACTGTCATTTCTCAGAGTGTGTCCAAATTTTCCAACAGTGATATCATCGTCTATGTCGGTTGCGGTGAGCGGGGTAACGAGATGGCGGAAGTCTTGATGGATTTCCCAGAGGTACAGGAACTGTGGCCTCTCCTAAGATGATCGCATGCTGACGAAACTCTTTATTTAGCTGTCCATCGACGTCGAAGGTCGCAAAGAGCCTATCATGAAGCGTACATGCCTGATCGCCAACACATCGAACATGCCTGTTGCCGCCCGTGAAGCTTCCATCTACACCGGTATCACGATCGCCGAGTACTTCCGTGACCAAGGAAAGAACGTGGCTATGATGGCGGACTCTTCCTCTCGCTGGGCCGAGGCTTTGCGTGAACTTTCTGGTCGTCTGGGAGAAATGCCTGCCGACCAGGGTTTCCCTGCCTATCTAGGTGCCAAGCTCGCCTCCTTCTATGAACGTGCTGGCAAGAGTATCGCTCTCGGAAGTCCCGAGAGAAATGGCAGCGTCAGTATCGTCGGCGCCGTCAGCCCTCCCGGTGGTGATTTCTCCGACCCCGTCACCAGTAGCACGCTGGGTATCGTGCAGGTATTCTGGGGTCTCGACAAGAAACTTGCTCAGCGAAAACACTTCCCCTCGATCAATACATCGATTTCATACAGCAAGTACACGGCCATTTTGGACAAATTCTACGAAAAGCATCATCCCGAATTCCCACGTCTACGAGACCAGATCCGGGAACTGTTGTCCAAGTCCGAGGACCTAGACCAGGTTGTGCAGTTGGTCGGTAAGGCGGCCCTCGGTGACTCGGACAAAATCACCCTGGACGTCGCGGCCATGGTAAAGGATGACTTCCTGCAGCAGAACGGTTACAGTGACTATGATCAGTTCTGTCCCCTCTGGAAGACCGAGTATATGATGAAGGCTTTCATGGGCTTCCATGATGAGGCACAGAAGGCCATTGCTCAGGGGCAGAGCTGGAGCAAGGTCCGTGACGCCACAGCTGACATTCAGACCTCTCTGCGTAGCATGAAGTTTGAAATTCCAGAAAACCAGGCAGCGGTTACAGAGAAGGTCAGTCCAATTTTCCCTGTCAAAATCGGTAGTCTCTCGCCACTGACAAATCTACACAGTATGAGAAGATCCTTCAGACCATGTCGGAGAGATTCGCTTCGGTGTCGGATGAGTAAGGAGACGAAAGTCCTGAGAGGAGATACTTTCTTTTATGTCTATTAGAAGCCTATATGTAGCAAGTTCATGTCTCTGTAATTATTTGAGTCGACTTTTCTTGTTCCGCAAGCTAGTGCCGACTGTCGAGTCCTTGTGACTTTTTATACACTTGATCTTTGATTAAGGGCTATATACAAGTGCACCTAGATAGCGTCAAGTTTATCTATCTCGCGCGCTAACTGCTAGAGCGACTTTTTCTGTAGAAATGAAAGTGGTAAAGATGGGACATAAGAGTCTATCATATCGTAAACTACCTCATGATGCGTACAGAACTTGATGCCTGTTGATCGCGAAGTCGGTGGCTGATGTTAGGCACCACTGTTAAAGCGGTCTCGGGTGGCCACAGCCACATGACGGGTGCAGCGATGGCTCTCGTGAGCGACAACGTTAGTTTGGACTTCAGTAACAGGATCGTTCTCCAAGTATTTCATAATAACTAGTACTGAAGCCCTTATTCTCAGAGGATAGATACAAGGAGTTTCGTTGGACGGTGCAGTGTCCATAAGTTGATGCCTATCATTCCTCCGTTGCCCATCTATTTCTATATTGATCTGGACCGCAAGCGAAACTACACTTGGCCGCATTCCCAACTCTTCCCGCTCTTTCCTACCCACAATCAACACTTCCTCCAAGCGAAGGCCATACACTCGAGTCTCATCTTTTTTGAGTCCAAATCTTCTGTTCTACTCCAGAAATAGTTCTGTGCGATCGCTTTCTCTACACAGTTGCCAACCATGGCAAGCCCGACAACAACCTCGTGCGCATACCCCTGTTCCCCCGAGGCCAAGCTCCGAAAACGTTAGCTAACTTGTATGATCGGTGGCAGTATAAACGTTAATGATCCCGGCTTGATCTCACTGGTGAACAAGCTTCAAGATGTCTTCTCGACAGTCGGTGTAAGTGTCTCATCCACTGTTTGGAGATCTCTTTGCTTTGATGTCCTAGGCGAGCCCCTCTGCCCGATACTGACACCGCTTGTCTGGTTAGGTTCACAACCCCATTGATCTGCCACAGATTGTAGTGGTAGGCTCGCAATCCAGTGGCAAGAGTTCAGTTCTCGAGAACATCGTTGGAAGGGACTTGTAAGTTAACTGTTCCTGCGCCTGCGTCTGATGTGCTATGAATCGTCGCTAATTAAGGTTGCCCGCTGCTCCAGCCTCCCTCGTGGATCGGGAATCGTGACTCGGAGACCCCTCATCCTACAGCTTATCAACAGACCTTCAAGGAACTCGGTAACGAACGGAGTCAAGGAGGAAAAACTAGAAACTACGGACAGCGAGGCGAACGTCGACGAATACGGCGAGTTCCTCCACATCCCCGGACAAAAGTTTTACGATTTCAACAAGATTCGCGAGGAGATTGTGCG